CTTTCAAAAGCCCAATTTCTAGACACTCAAGGCCTTGGGGGGAGCCCTAGATCCAAACCATAATGAAAACCAAAGCACCATCTCCGACCCGGCCTGCTTAGGAACCTGTGGAGGGAACCACAAGCCATGGAGAGGGGCCACACTGGGCCCACTGGGATAGGAGCTCGGCCCCCTGGTTACTTTAAGCAATTTGTTAAAATTGCAATGGTCCCCAGAGACACAGCCCTTCCAAATCTAAGTCCAAGGAGACAAGTTTATGGATCATTATTAAACTGCTGAGAAAGGGTATAAAGCAGGAGAATATTGAACATCCATCAGACAAATGAGCCTGTGGCCCCGTCATAATGAGAGATCTGGACACGGGCCAGCGGTGCTCGTCTCAGGGACACACGCAGCTCAGGGTGGGAGGGCTAGGAGTGGGGAACGGGAGGCGGAGCCTCAGGACCAGGCCACCTCCAGCCCCGGCCTCGAGTTCCTGGCTGCAGAGGCGGCTGTGGGTCACATATGGAGGGAACAGGGTGTCCCAGGAGTGGTGCACTCTGCCACCCACCCAGACCAGGCCGGGCTGGGCAGAGGGGTGGGATACAACTGGGCCCAGGAGAAGCGATCAGGTGACCTGGCGAACTGCCTCACCTGCTGTCCAGGAGGCCACGTCCACCCCTCCTGATGCTTTCGCCCACCAACAGGCATCCCCAGGCCACTGTGGATCAGCTCCGCCCATTCACTCCTCAGGGCAGTGGGATGTGTGACCATGACCGTGACTACTACAGTGCTCCACGCAAGAGGCCACCCTACTCACCCTCTAGCGCCAGAGCACCAGGCTGAGCTGGGACACACAGGAGAGCAAGCGGCCTCCTTCGGACCTCATGAGACTCTGAGCACCCGAGGGACAAGTGCAAAACAGAGTGACACCCCCCCCCAGCAGGTGGCACACACCTATAATACTGACACTCAGGAGGCTGAGGCAGGAGGATCACTGTGAGTTGAAGGCTGACCTTAAACTACATACACAGTGAGACCCTGCCTCAAAACAAAACAGAGTGGCCCAGGAGTCCCCCATACACCCCATCCTGGTATCGCTGTGGTCCTGGTGTTGTGACAGATGGCCTTTGTGAAGAGCAAGGGAGAGGTGAGACCAGCTTCTGCCACGCCCAATCTCACACCACCCCAGTGACCACGAGTTGGTACCTCCACAGTGGGGCTCATGGCCAAGCTCAGTGGGCAGAGACAACACACCAAGGCCTGGGGACATCAGAACAGAGTGGGCAGGCCCAGAGCAAGTCCACCCACATCCAAGGCCAGCAGCTCTGGTCAGCTCACGTGTGACACTCCAGCGCATCACAGGGTGAGAGCTGTGGTTTATCTTCCTGTGCAAAACCCCTCGCTGTCAGCCCTTTGTGGGGAGATCCATAAAGCAAACAGTTATGAAAGCCTGAGGCCTGGAGCCTGGAAGAGCAAGGAGTTGTCCTTTCCCAGTACCCCTGCGGGGCCTGGGTGGCTGGGCAGCTGGAGTCAGGGCTGGAGAGGGAGGCCATGTTCTCCCTGGGGAGGGGGAGGTTGGTGAGCATGCACTGAGCTGAGCGATGACAGCTCTGACTCCTGGAGCACAGGTGATCAGGACCCACAGCAGACACTGAGTCACCATCTCCACTCTGGCCAGCGAGGCCCCAGCATGGCTGGGCCTGGCAAGAGATCATCTCCGATGAGACGCCCGCTGACAGAGAGCAGCGTCAGTGTGAACCACACTGGGGTCTGACACACAGATGCGGGAGCCCTGGGCAACCACTCCCAGCCATGCCAAGTGACCAGGAGTTGCCCTGGATGCCCCCCGGGGCAGGGGAGGGGAAGCCAGAGCTCCAGGTCCCTACATGGGTGGCTCTGACTCAGACAACTTGGCACAAATTCTCTGCCATTTATTTCCTATTTTGGGCAAAAAGTGTCTTTCTCAGTGGGTGTGGTGGCGCACACCTATAATCCCGGTACCCTGGGAGGCCGAGGTAGGGGGATGGCCAGATTTAGCAACTCAGCAAGACCCTGTCTCAAAATAAAGGGCCAAGGGTGGGGGCGCATGCCTGTAATCCAGCACTCTGGAGGGTGAGGCGGGGGGTCTCTCCACAAATTCCAGACCAGCCTGGGCTACAAAGTGAGCTCAAAGCAGCCTGAACTGCATGCAGACCCCGTCTCAAAAAGACCAAATGTAAATAAATAAATGATAGGGCCGGAGAGGGCGCTCACAGGGAAGGCCCAGGGCTCAATCCCTGGTGTAGTGTCCCCACAAAGTTCTTTTCTTCGCAGTCCCGCAGTGACCCAAAGGCTGATTACACCCGGGGGGACAGGGCACGAGACTGGAGGTTGGTGGTCGGAGAGCAAGGGTGGGGAAAGGCGTCTGGGGCCTGCCCGCCTCTCTGGTAGCTGAGCCAGGGACACCTGGGGCGGCGGCACTCAGAAAGACAGGCATGCCCTCACACGTGACTATTACCACTAATACCAAAATCGGCCTTCACTGAGCCCCTGGCCTCTCCTGTTTCATCTGATTCTCTAGGTAGCCCTGGGACACGCCTATTCTGCCCTGTGAGGCAGGCAGTGCTCTTGTGCCCATTTTACAGATGGAGGAGCCCCACCTCGGCATGGGTGGTAGAGGCGGGATTTGAGCTGGGCCTGTCGGACTCCAGCAGCTGTGCTCTCTATGCCTCACCACAGGACTTTGGCTGGGTTCCTGTCTCCCTGGATGCCCATAGCCCAGTGACCAGAAGACAAGAACCAACAGCCTCTGCCAGGCCTTACTGGGTGAGGTGTATCGCTAAGCACCTGCCAGTGCCTCACACTGACTCCCTCGGGGCAGATTTGTTAATTGCTCCTCGGTCACAGCTCAGGAAGCAGAGGTTAAGAAGTTAATGGCCACTGCAGGGCAGCGTGGCCCCGGCTCAGGGTTGTCTGTGTCCCCTCTGAAGCACATTACCCTGCCCAGGGAGGCCCAGCTGGACCTTCCAAGCCTTTCTGAGGCTCAGACGAGAGCAGCGTGGCTGGGAACATGTGCACAAGCACGCGTGCACACACACACACACACACACACACACACACACCCCAGGAAGTAGCCCAGCTACAACCCAGGACGTGGGACCCAAAGCCATGCACTCTGCTCCCCCAGGCCCTAGAGCTCAGGCCTGCAGACCCACTGGGTTCCCCTCAGGTCCTAGATCCAGGGGATGCCCAGCATAGGAACGCAGGAAGTAAGGAAGGCCAGAACTCCACCCCAGCCGTCCGTACAGAGGGGGTGACCACCCACCCCTGCAGGACCCTACAGGGCCACAGCCCACTCCAGGCCTCGATCCACACTCAGCCTGCAGGAGCAGAGGTGGGGTGGGAGGGACTGACAGGTGAAGGAGGGGTCTGGCCAAGGGGAAGCGCACGCTGGAGCCTCATGTCCTTCCAGCCCAGCAGTGGGGTGCGGTCAGCAAGGTCCCCTCCCACAGCCCTCACCCGCCGTGAGGAAGGAGGCCACCTGGAACTGTGGGGGAAGCAGCCATCTCCCTGCCAGCCCCCAGTGCTCCTTGGACAGCCATCTGCTCCCCCGGCCATCTGCCTCAGCCTCCCCTTCAACCTCCCCAGTCCTGTCTCCCACTTATAGGGTCCCACACAGATCGTCCTTAGTCTTCAAGGAAACCCGAGTGACAGCATCCTTAGTAACTCCCTTTTGCAAAAGAGAAACTGAGGCAGAGCAAACTGAAACACCGTGTCCCCCATCGGCCAGCACACATTAGTGAAGCCAGGACAGAGGCCAGACAGATCACAAAGACTCTGCATCCTGCCTCAGCCTCCGAGCTCTGTGTGCCAATACTGTCCCCAACTGTCCCAAAGCAACTCGCAGAACAGAGCAGCACTCGCTTCTCTCCCAGCCTCTGGCCTCTTGCAAAGTCCTTGTCCATAGAAACCTGAAAGGCCCCTACTCGGTGCTTCTTGCCCCCTGGCTGCCAAGTGACCAGGTCGGGCTCCCGAATGTTGTATACTAGTAAACCCCGAGCGTTTACCATAAAACTGATGGGTGCTAACGGACGGGCCTGGAACAAAAGGGAGCCAATCACCCCGCACTCTCTGCTGCGATCTTAAACGGACCTTCCTGGGTGTGGAAGGCTGGCTTGCTAGGAGCTGCAGACACAGTTCAGGCTCCCTTTCACTGCCAAACGTAACTGTGCGATGCAGCAGGGTCTACATGGGGAACTCAGTTGTTGCCACTGAGTGCTGCATCACTGAGGCCAAGGCGACAGCCAGAGTGGGTGTCCTAGCCATGCTGCTGCTGCTGCCACCAGCCCAGGCACAGGGAAAAGCCAGATTCCTGGGCCCCCAGGCAATGACCCCCGTCCTGGGGCACACAGATAAAGGGCCACCAGCTCCTGCCCTCAAGAGTTTATGCTTCAGGGCCAGGGATTTAGCTCAGTGGCTCAAGCGCCGATCTGGTAAGTGTGAGGTCATGAGTTCAGTCCCGGATACCAGGGGGAAAAAGTTTATGCTTCAGAGAACCCGAACCAGCAAACTGGGCCCCACTAGCCTCCCAGGACCCAAATCCACTGAGTCCTGGCTCCTGTACATGGGCCTAGCGGGAAGGTGATTCCCACACAGGTGGATGCTATTGGTTCCTCCTGGCTCTCCAAAGCTGCCCGAGGCCACTTGCCCGTGAGGAGACTCAGGAAGCCGGCAGTGCAACCATGCGGCTCCCCTGCCTCCTCACAACTGCCCTGGAGGGGATGGGGAGACCCATAAGGGAGCCTGTCCTCTGCTGGTCCACAGCAGGGCCTGCACACAGGGCAGCACCAGGGACTTCAGCCGGCCCAGCCCCTTAAACTCACATGGAGAAGCTCCGGGGCAGAAGCGGGTCCACCCTGGGCCTCCATTCCCTGGACCAGATCCAGTGAGGAGCCCTGGGAGGGCATGCTTTCAATGAGGAGAGAACACAAACAGGGCTGAAAAGAAAGGGACGTCTGGCCCAGTGTGATGGTACATACCTGTAATCCCAGCACTCAGAAGGCTGAGGCAGGAGGACTGCTGCAAATTCAAGGCCAGCCTGGGCTACACAGTAGACCCTGCCTCAAACACTGGTACTAGTAAACCCTGAGCATTTACCATATGATGTAGTGTCTGCCGATGACATAAGAGAAACAATCGCTGCTCACCAAGGTGCAGGCCCCAGGCCCTGCTCTAGTCCCGGAGCAACCACCCAGCTGCAGCTCTTCAGGTCGCTCCTGGCCTGTCTGGCTCCTCCCCGTGCACAGCTGGGCTCTGTAAAACTTCCTGCAGCTTAACAACAGAACATCAAGACCCTCGGTGCAGGCTCAGGTGTGGCGACCCCTTTCACACGGGATAAGAGCAGCTGTGCATTCCAAGCCCTGCAGTTTCCCACCTCCCAGTTACGTCTGCCTGCCTTGGGGTGAAGCTTCCAGGGAAGAGCTCCCCGCTTTGTCCTGGGAGGGACCCAAGCGTTCACACAGCAGCATTGCTAGAATGAGGCAGCGGCCCTTTGTGCTATTAGTGGAGGGTGCCACACGCAGGCAGAGGGGGCTGGGGCCTCGGTGCCACCAGCACACCCTGGGTGCCTGGGGCTGCAGGGCCAGGGCACCATGAGACCCTGTCCAGGAGCCTGTCACCCTTTCTGTCATCCAGGCTCATTCAGCACTGCCCCATCTCAGAGGACGGCCCTTCTCCCAAGAGGGAGGCTGCCCCAGCCCTACGGGAAGGAGTGGACACAAAGAAGCCAGGGGAAGGTCCTCCACGCTCTCCTACCCCCACCCCAGCCTCCAAGACGCAGGCCCTGGTCAGCATCTTGTCAGCTCTCCCTGGCCACTGCCCTGCGTTTTTTCCCAGGGAAGGAGCTGTTCGCACTCCCAGCACGGCTATGGCCAAGATGTCCCAGGCCCTCAGCAAAGCCTCCCCCCTCATCCACTACTCACTGGCATCCTGAGTCTCTGGGCTCCTGGCCCAGCTCCCCAGGCAGTGCCGGCCCCCGAGTGCTGTAAGTCAGTCCCTGCTGCACCAGGACGGCTGTGGGCCCTAGCAAAAGAGGAGCCAGCCAACACCTCAGGCTCCGCGAGAGCCCCAACCATGGGGTCCTCTCCCGTGATCCAGCACCACCGAGCTTTGGCCTCAGGGAAGTCCTTTGCTCCCTGGCAGTGTCAGCAAGTGGCCTGGGGTGGAGGGGAGCTGCCCCCAGCCACACCAGCTTTCGGACCCTGTTCATTTTGTAAACCCCAGTGAACAGGAAGCAGTTTCATTACCAGACGGTGCTGCTGGATGTCTGAGCCAGCTGCCGCCCCCTTTAAGTGTCCTTGAAAGCTGCGTGGAAGCTGAAGAGCTGAAGCTGGTTTGAGGGACATCACCTACCATGGACACCGCACCTGGGAATGTCAGAGCCCCACCCCCCTCCATGCCAAGCGTCCTCCATTGTGAGAAAGTGGTAGACGGGGTGTGGACCCACAGCTGGGCTCTGCAGGCTGTGGGCTCTCAAGTCAGAAAAAGAAACTAGGCCAGATGATACATCCCAATAATTCCAGCTACACGGGAGGCTGAGGCAGGAGCAACTTAGCAAGACCTTGTTTCAAAAATAAAATGATCTTGGCATGGAGCTCGGTGGTAGAGAATTTGCTTGGCATATGCAACGTCTGGCTTCAAACTCCTGAACAAGAAAAGTAAAAGATAAAAAAGAGAACTCAGCACCATAGGGGGCGGGGAGCAGCTCCACACGCTGGGGACCAAAGATCCAAAAATCCCCACAGGGCACACGGGCCCAGGGCCAGTGCTGGCTGGGTATAGCATCAAAGAGACAAAAAGTCCTGCAGTCTAAACAGCTTCCACGAAATTCTCTGTCTTCCGGTGTTTGTCAGTCGCTGTTTTCTGCATTGCTAGGGATTGAACCCGGAGTCTCCCACAGAGCTCCAGCCCCAGACCTTTTTCAGGTTTTATTTGGAGATAGGGTCTTGCAACGTTGCCCATGTTGGGCTCAAACTTGCCATCCTCCTGCCTCCGCCTCCCAGGGAGTTAGGCGGGTTTGCAGGTCTGATCCACCACACCTGGCTTTCCTTGGTCTTTCTTGAGGAACGCTGCGTTTTTCTCGAGTACTCCTCAGCACTGTCCTGCTGGCGCCGCCTGGCTTGCTCTGAGCCACCCTGAAGGATCAGTGACCGACTCCAGTCCCCACACTTTTGGACTCCTGCAATCGCACTGTGCCCTCACTGACCTGCGGGCCGGCCAAGGCAGCGGAAGAGTGAGGGCGCCCCCATGTGGCAGCCTCAGCACTGCGGCTCACAGAAGACCTCTGAATCTTAGCGGGAGGATGCCAGGCTGAACACAGAGCAGCCCCTCGCCCACTGGCCTCCTTCCTGCAGCTTCCGTGTCCCACAGTGAACCAATCTGAGATTAAACGTGGGCAGCCTCGCACTTGTGCTGGTGCACACCTGTAGTGGCACACACCTTAATCCCAGCACTCAGGAAGCTGAGGCAGGGAGATTGCCATGAGCAGGAAGCCAGGCGGGGTCCACAGTGAGTTCAAGACCAGCCTAAACTACACAGTGAGACCTGTCTCCAAAAAACCAAGGTAAAACAATGTTTTAAAACGCTACAAGATTAGCTATAAAATTACAGAAATACGTGATACCTGTTCAATTGTGTGCCACGCTGAGCAGCACAACAGTGCTTCACTGTCCCGCGGGCCCTGCCCTGGGAGAGCTGTCCTCCCCCTTCTGGCATGTTCGTCACATGCACTGCCGGCCTGTAATTCAGTAGGCAACTGTAACCCTATACTCAGGGCCAGTATCTGAAAGGCAAAAGCACAGGCTCTGCCGCCCCGGCTCCTGTACGATGGCCCTGTGTCCATCCAGAAAGCAGAAGGCATGACGATCTCAAGAGAGCAGGATGCTCTGTCTCATGCACACTGAAAACACTGCCTTCCCGTGTTCAAGTATCCAAGTGACTCCTCCGAGCCATGGCTCAGAGGGCTGCAGGGCCAACCAGAGAGCAGGTGGGGTCCACCCTTCAGCTGTGGGGCGTGGTCAAAGCTGGGCCAGTCACAGGGGACAGCCCAGCCATGGATTCCCTGACCTCTGCCTGGCCTTGGAAACCCCCGAGCGCTGCCCCACACTGCTCCCTGGGTCCACTCTCCGGCCTCACTGGGTCCTGGGATGCTCCTGCTGGTGAGGCTGGAGATTCCCTCTTTGAGCCAGGCACAGTGACTGGCAGCTCCTGCTCCAAGAGCTCTGCGGGGTCTGTGCCTTTGCTGGACCTCCAACATAGGCTGCTGAGGATATCCAGCTTTCTCTTCCCAAGAATTAGCACAGCCTATAGAGTGAACAAGTAGCTTTTAATGTAAAATTTAAACCAGGTATGGTGGTACCCGCCTGTAATCCCAGCACTCAGGAGGCTGAGGCAGGAGGATGGCTGGGAGTTCAAGAGCAGCCTGAACTACATAGTGAGACCTTGTCTCAAATAGACAAAAAAATTTTAAAGTGCTTGAAGAAAAAACTAACACGGGTAAGGACTTTGGGATGTGGTGGGTAAAGGTCTGTTAACTCCTAACAAGGACAGCAGTTTAGATGCTCTGCACTATAAAGCCAGATTCAAAATCCCACAGCGCTCCCTGCCCTGTGAGGATGAGCCTGGAACAGCTCGGGGAAAGGCCCAGCAAACACGGCTTTCCTGTCTTGTGTGGTGTGTGAACCCCACAGGCCCTGCAGGAGCAGGGCGCAGAGAGCCACCCAGCCTCCCTCCCATCACCACAGCCAGGACATACAGATGGACAAGGCCACCTCACAGCGGGAAGGCGCACTGGGCCCACACATCTACTCACCGTCCCCAGTGTCCCCTTCCCTGTCCCCTGGCAGGTGTGCCCGCCTGTGTTGCCCAGTGCGCTTTTTTGTCCTGTCCTGTGAGCTCATGTTCACAGGCCCAGCCACTGTGTCTACACTGCTGACAGAAGAAACCCAGTTCTGCAGGTTAGGCCAGGGCTGCCCACCAGAGCCCCCCAAGCATGCCCAGCAGCTCCCACACCAGCACCCCAGATAACCTCGGAACCATCCTATGCATGCAGCACCGCCTGTCCTCCCTCCTGCCCTGTGGCCAAGCTCCCTGAGCAGTTGCCTGGACAGCTAGGGCCTCCGCAAGGGCACCCAGCAGCTCCAGCCTCCTGAGCAGGCACCCAGGGCTTTGGCCATGGCCACTTACACATGCACACACATGCACACACCCACACACATGCACACACGTGCTCAGGCAGCTCCCGTCTCATGTCAAAGCTCCCACCTCCTCCTGCTGCCACCCATACACACTGTGCCCTGAACCAGGCTGTGCCCCACTCCACCTGCTGACTGCCACATCTGTCTGTCCTCGCCAGGCTACCACACCACGCAGCCAGTGCCATCAGTGACCCCACATGAGACCTTGGAGCCACTGTCTTAAAATGCACATCTGATCATTCAACACCGTGGAGTTCCTAAATGCTGCTAACCTTAGGGAAAACATTCTGATGCGACCACTAGGCAGCGGCTCAGAGCAGGATTTAAAGTTAATTGATGGGCTTTCTATGTTTACCTGCGAGTCTGTCCCAGATGAAGTCCTCATCTGGAGATGGGCAGCGGGCTCACAGTAAGTGAATTTGTATGAATCACTGGTCCCAGCTGAGGCCTGTAGAGGCTTGTGATGCTGTGATGCCTCAAAGGCCACAGCTGAGGACGCCTGGCTCCCACACCAATGAACAAATAGAGACTGCAGCTGCAATAAATGTCAACCTAGAGTCAACAACCTATACCCAACTGGTGGGTATAATTTACTACTTGTGAAGTCCTTGAGCTGACTGTCAAGGTCCTGCTCAGTTTCCAAGTTTTCCGCAGTATCCCTGGTCCTTTGAAAACCAAATACAGGATGCCCAGGGAAATTCTTTGTCTCAGCTCCCAGAATCTCGAATACTGCTAGAGGGTTTTGATCCTCCTGAGGCCCTAGGATCACACCACTTGTCTCTTGTTGAGGCCTTCACCGTCCACTCATTTGGGAGGTTGTGGGCCTGAGCAGTCTGTAGTAACGTATCAGCAAAAATCACCAGAAACCCATCCTGAGGAGGAAATCGCTTCACTGGGAAGCAACCTTCTGGGTTGTTTTACTAATAATGTTTCATGGGTTTTTTTCTTCTAAACATGAGTGACTATGCAACTTAAAGTACATAACTTACACTAAAGTTTGATCCTTCTGTTTAGGGCCCTTATTGAAATGCATTCTGTGTACAGATTAGTGCATTACCAGATCAAATAAAAACTGGGGGGCTGGGGAGTTGGCTCAGCAGCGTAAGCGCCTGCTTTGCAAGTACACAGTCATGAGTTTGATCCCCAGTACCAAAAAAATTAAAAATAAATTTTTTTTTTGGTCTTTTTCGTTTTTATCGGTACCAGGGATCGAACTCACGACTGCTTGCTTACAAGGCAGGCGCTTATGCTGCTGAGCTAAATCCCCAGCCCCAAAAAATTAAAAATAAATTTAAAAAAATAAAATAAAAACCGGGTTGTAGATACAGTTCAGTGGTTAGAGCTGGCCCAGCATGTGAAGTCCCAGGTTCAATCCCCAGCACTACCGGGGAAAAAGTCACCTTTGGGCCCCTGCCATCTGCCTCACACAGCCCTGTCACTACCCCAGAGGTAACCACCTCAACCTCCAGGAGCAGTGGAGCCCCAGGCCTGGCTCCTCCTGCACACGTCCCAGAAGAATGCCTGTCACTCTTGCTGGAAATGTCTACACTGTGCCCACCTGCTCAGGAGGCTGGACCAGGTCCCAGGCTTGAGGCCCACCTGGGAGACGCAACAAACACTGTTTCAGTAGGCCGGACATGCAACTGTGAGGGCCTGTGTCCCTGCCCTGGGACAGAGGGCACTCAGCAGGGAAATCCCGAAGTCTCTACTCCCCACCCCAGCTCTCCTGCCTCCCTCCAAAGACACCTGCCCAACAGCACGGTGCCACACAGGCCCTGGAAGGAAGCGCCTCCCAGCCGGTGAACTCCAGGGAACCCCGACTTCAAACCAGCCCAGCTTTGCACCAACACCCTCTCCCCAAGTGCCATGCCAGAACCCAGGGCCTCCTGGTTAACAGGGCTTCCCCCACCCCAGGCCTCCCACAAGACGCCACCCTCCCTTGCTACCTCAGCTGGCTGGAGACACTAGACACGCCTCCACCTCCCACCCATCAGCACCAAGACAGGCCTGGGGGCGGGGGACCGAACATGCCAGAATGCCAGATAAGCCTCGGGTCTTGGTGGACTAAGCTGCTCCCAAGAGCCACAGGTCAGACAGGACTCCAGGGACAGGGCCCCCAACCCTCCCCATCTAGGCCCCAGGTCTCATGACCACTTCGACCTGCACCCACGCCCCTGAGGCGGGGCAGCAACCACTACTGGTGAGCTCTCTGGGACTCATTCCTGGCACTCAAACTTCCATCCCATCATCAGCCTCCTGCTGCTGTGGGCCAAAACCCTGCAAGGCCAACATGGGCTCCTTCATCAGGCAGAGCTGGGCCAAGGCTGAAGAATGAGCGGGGTGTGGTGGCCCCTCCGTGTGAGCCCTGCTGTGGGCGGAGTCAGGAAAGTCTCAGGATCAGATTTAAAAGAAGGGCTGGGGAAGCAGCTCCAAGTGAAGGCCCTAGTTCAATCGCCAACACCAGGGAGGAAAAAAGGGCCGGACGAGAACCCGGGAACAGGCATCGCATCATCCCAACCCAACGGACAGAGCCGTCACCCTCCCACCCTCCAGACAGGTCCCTGGCAGGAGGCGTGCAACCTGCGCTGCGGAAGCAAGAAAACCAGTCCTTGGAGTGTAAGACAGGTTTCTTTTATTAGTTTTTCCTAGACTTGTCTCATGGTTACTGAAAGTTGCCCTCAGTGTAAGAATGTGACCTGGAGTTTGAACACATCAGCCAGGATATGCGACCCAGGTCAACGCTGGCCCGAACACAAGTCACTGCTTGCTGGCCTCCAGCAGCAACCGCTCTTCCGCCTCGCCACGCAGAGCATCATCTTACCCTAGTTTAACTTTACACTCAGACTCACCCCTGGCCAACACCCAGGCCCCTCCCTGCGCACGCACACAAATATTTAGAAGAAATGGCCATTAAAGACTGGGCAGTTGCATACGAATTGGCTTAATCCTACAGCCAGTGCTTCTGGGCAAGCCAGCAGGGCCTCGTGAAACACGACACGGAGGGAACAGGCTCCGAAGCCCGGAGCTGCGAGGGAGGCGCCCATCTCGCCACACAACCCCCCCACCCCCAGCGGGCAACTATGCCGACAGCCGTCTGCATAGAGATGCACAGAGCCTTTGTGTAACTATGCAAGGTACAATCTTATTTGGAACAACAAACGCCAAAACAGAGACGCTCTGTTACACAAGTCATCAGTATTACAAAGGTCCAAAACAAAACCAGCGAAGCTTGCCACCATTTCTGAAGGAAGGCAGGTTCCAGATGTGGCCTCTTGAAGTCTTCCTGTGAAGTGCCCACAACGTCTCACTCCTCTCCCCGTTCCATGCTGCCCTAAGAGCAGCCTGGCCATGCAGCGAGGACGCCCCACGCTCCTTCACCACTAACATCACACTCAGCCAAGATAATCCAGTTATCTTCATAGTCTTTATGCTCTCCTCGCTGTTCAACATGTACAAATTAGCAGATTCCTGACAGATACTAACACTTTACACGAGCTGACCATGAGCACATCTTTTTAGGACTTTTGTCCCTTAGCCTAGGAGTTTGAGCGACACCTCAAGTTTACACAGAACACCTGCCACCTCAAGGGACAGGCTAGGACACTTCATTGTCACCCGTCTGGGCAAGGGTCAACGCCTCAGTTGCCTGGAACCTTTGGAAAGCCCAGCCACCCACTTCTAACTTTCGGAGGAGAGCAGCATTCAGACTGTGACGTTTGGGCTATCGGGGAATGCACCTTCAGTCAGCAGCACCTGTGGTCTCAGAGCCTCAGTTTACACCTTGCTGGGGGATGGGGCTTACATTCCCAAGGGCAGCTCGTGGCATTTTAGTGGGAGCTCGGGGGGCAGAGGGCAGAGCAGGGCAGGGCTGGAAGTGAGGCAAGGCGTGGGGACAGCTAGAGAGCACCCCACAGCCCTGCTCCGCTGCTCACACCAGGCTGCACCCTGGGAAGCCGAAGAGCCCCACCATCACAGCCCAAGCCGTCGGGAGGCCTCTGCAGCAACTTCCACAGCAGAGTTCGAAGCCAACTGCAACTCCTGCCACGTCTGTCCCGGTGAAGAACAGCCTGCCTGGTGACCCATCACAGCTTGGCCCAAGGCGCAGCTTTCCAAAACAAATGCACTGCTGCAGAAGCATGATTAACATGAAGGGAGTGAAGCCTAAGCTCAGTAAGACTACCGGGCTTCTAAGCAGTACCATTATGAAAAAGATACAATGCACTTCATCTCGGTATCTAACTATTTAAAGTCAAAATGCTCCATACATTACCTATACCCCCGCCCCCCAAATTCCCTAAAAATGGACTAAGAAACCTCCAGTATTCACTTGCTCTGGTTGATATTTAGAACAAAGTTGACAACTTAAAGCTTTATAACAGTCTGTTTTAATATAAACAAGTGCTGGAATCAATCGATGTCCATCTCCGGAAGCTTCTTGTCCATCTCGGAAGGCACGGCCGCGTCTGCGCCCTGCTCAGCGGCCTGTGGGCCCGGGCTGTCTCCCTGGCCGTCCACTGGTCCGTTCTGCTCGGCAGTTTTTTGCTCCTCTTTCGGAGGTTCCACTTTGGGCTTGGGCTTTGAAACTATGGGGTTACAGATACTTGTCAGCTCCTAGAAGGAAGGGGGAGAGAAAACCATTGGTGCCTCATGAATGAGTGAGTTTTACAGCCACACAGTACACCCGAGCGAGCTCAGCCTGTCCTGCTCAGGCCCCACACTGGAGCCAGGCTGCAGAGCGCACTCCCCGCTAACAACCACGTCAGCCCATGCGCAACAAGGCCCAGAGAAGAGACTGCCCTGAGCCACCTTTATCTTAGCTTCTATCTCCTTCGTCTTGACAACGGGGTCTACGGTCAGGCTCTGCTTGCTCTGCAGGTTCAGCTTGTTGTTCATCCACTCCATCGCCTCGTTCGTGCTCTTCTCCACCTTGGCCACGTCGGCGGCATCCAAGTGGTCATACTGGTCCTCCTGTGGCAAGAGGACAAGACGGCATCAAGGGATGATCCGCTGCCTCCACCAGCTCTGTCTACTTCGCTGGTGTTTTCCAAAATACTACCCTCTTTCAAACACATTTAGGCACATTTAGCCTAACCACGTAGGTAGACACCAAATACCCTACCTAAGTAAGCCATTAAACACTGAAGCAAGCAAAAAAACCCAATTAATAGAATATTTGGGAACTCTGGTGTGGCGGTACACACCCCTGTAATCGTCACACTGGAGGCTGAGACAAGAGGATCTCCGTTAGCTCAAAGCCAGCCCCTGCCTCGGAGACAGAACCCTGGAGGAGGGCAGGTGAACAGAGGTGCAGCCCCGCCCTGGCAGCACAGGCCTGGGATTCAAAACCAGTAACACTGACCTGCAATGCCCTGGAGCCAGACTTTTCAGGCTGAATCCCAGCTCTCCCAACTTAGTGACCTGCGCTCTAACTTAAAAGGGAAGTTCCTAGCAATCTACACCTACTTCACAAGGTCACTTGTTCCAATGATCAGATGACAATGGGCACACATCCTGTGACCCTGCAATGCCACTGAGCCGTGTACTGATGCTATGGACAGTTGCTGGGCCACAAACCAAACCACCAGCTACTGTGCTCTCCGCATGCCCAGACCGGCACAGAGCGTGTCAGGGCTCACTGGCAGGTGGCATTCACAGCAAGGGATTCAACGGTGTCACTCTGCCTGCCCAAGGCTGCCCGCTAAGGATGCCGCAAGGCTTGAGTTTCTTAGTAAAATTCTGCAACACCTCATATATTAGTCACCATTCAAAATGCAAACACTGAACAACAGTTACAAAGAGTGAGGGATGCTACGTAAGTGTCTCAATTTTAACTTGATCAAAACAAGAGTAAAGGAAAAGGGAAAAAGTAGGTACCTTATTTTTGAAAGAGCTGATTACTTTCATATACTGTTGAATTTGTTTCCCTAGTTCTTCAAATAATTTTGGTCTTTCTTCAGATTCCTGGAACCGTATCTTAATAGGCTGACCTAAATTCTAACGGGAAAGAAAACACACATTTTCACCAAGCACCTTAATGATCAGAGCGGTCACGGCTCCCACCATGGCTGAGACGGTGGATGAGGTACACGGGGGCTCCCTGCGCGGGCCACACACCCTCGGACCACGAGACACAGGGGGCTGGGTATGAGGTGAGGACACCCAACACGGACTTCTGTGCGTGGCTTCAGTATCACCTGAGCTCTCCTCAAAACGTGGTGGAGGGACAACAAAAAAGTCACTGAAACTCAGACCAGGAGAAAACCCTGCAGAATAAATGACCTGGTTTCTTCATGAGCTGAGAAGGGCAGAGAGTAAAGGGGAAGAGCCACAGACACGGGCTTCAGAGACACACCAAATAAAATGCATAGGCTGCACCTGAATCCTGACTCACACAAGCTAAAAAGTAGTAGTAATCATTTATGAAAAATGGAACTTGAGCCAGGGAAGTAGCTCAGTGGCACAGACTGCCTGGAAAGTGCAAAGTTGTGAGTTCAAGATCCAGTACCAAAAAAAAAAAAAAAAAAAAAAAAAAATCAAAGGACTTTGAAAACTGAATACTATGGTGATATTAAGGAAGGCTGTTCGGTGTGATAAAGGTTCTGAAGTATTTTTAGATCAAACATAACATGAAGGGCTTGCTTCACTGGGAATGGAATGAACAGATAAAAATAGACCACCTCTAAAAGCTGAGGCTCCTGGTCTCTGCTTTCATGTTTCTCACATCTCGGAGGCAAAACCAAAACACTCGACAGGAAGGACCACATGTGGCCTCCCACCATTCCTGACACCAACTGTCCCTCGCACGCCCCTCAGGTGGGTGCTCATTCCAGCCCCACCGCATGAGAAGCCAAGTAAACCAGAGTGGGAACTAAAGGCGCGGCTCCTGCTGTGCAGGGGCTGCTTCATGCAAATGCCAGGCCTCATTCTGGGTAATTCTTTGTGTCTTAACCCTAAGGTTTAACAACCCAACCCCTTAACCACAAAGCTAGCTAGGTCCACAGCCTGCCCCAAGAGCAGGGCAGGGCAGGGCCTTGGGACCAACCCTATTTTGCAGTCTTCTCTCTGGACACTGTATTCCTACTTACACACTGCTTTTTTCCTGAAGCTCTGTGGCGCCCAGTGGCAGCGTGCTAAGCCATAGAGGGTACAGTCCTTCTAAGCATTTATTTCCAGTTTATGCTTGACCCTCTCCTCATATGGAGCCACTGTCCTCAGCAGGGTCAGCATTTGGCCTAACGTCTCTCCAGAGCCACTCACCTTTAATTCAGCCAATTTATCTACGTAAACTTGCTTTGGCTGATCTTCTCCATCTTCATACAACCAGTTCTCAGTGTCTTCCAGCTTCAAGGTGAAACTGTTATGATCCTAAAGATAAAGAAAAGGTTGCAACCAGCTCAATCAGAAAGCAAACGAATCGCCAACACAACCGCAGGCCAGAACTGCACTGCTGTACCTGGGACTTGCTTTAAAATACAGGACATGGCATGGGGACACAGAAAGCCAGATGAGGTGTGTTTTCTGTCTGAGGGGTACAGGAGGGAATACTGCATTATTCTTCCTGCTATAAGGAACTCTTAAGTATGCTTACCATTTTTGGAATTAAAAATATGCATTTCAAAGTGAGCGTTAAGCAGCAGGAAAATACCACATAAATACAGCTTTCAAGTATGAGTGATGTGTGAAAGCGATGCATCACAACGGACCTTTGAGAGACACTACAATAACAAAACAAATACAAAATTCAAGTATGTAAAACTTTCTCCCAGAAAAAAAATACATTTCACTGGGTGGGTGGTACAAGCTTGCATTCCCAGCACCCCGGAGACTGAGACAGGAGGACCACTGTGCATTTGAGAGGCCAACTTAGGCTACATAAGCAAGTTCAAGGCAAGGCTGCACTACCTACAAGACCCTGTCTCCAAAAAAAATCCAAAAACTTAACAAAATTTAGTAGAATGCATACCTGTTGTACTGTATTTTTCCCCAAAAATAAGACCTAACATAAGAAAACAGGCCCTAGCATAATTTCATAGGATGTAATAAGCCCTACCCAAAATTAAGCTCCACTTAAAATCAACAGCCAGCCAGCTGTATAGTAGTATACACCATACAGCAAGCCACTTCTGGATGAGAGGCAAACGCCTATGCAGCAGCTGCAGCCGCAGGTGCGGGACTGAGCGACCGACCAGAGGCAGCGCACTGTGATCCCTGCGCCCGCCGACACAGGGCAGTGGCTGCGTCTGCTACAAATGTGGGAACTCAGCGTGGCACTCTCTGCAGCGCGCTGCATGCACTTGTTTGCAACGGATGTTTTCGGAATTCTGGGCTGGCGGTGTTGCACACCACTGTGTGCGGACCGCCCTTCCCTGCTGTCACCACTGTGCTGCTGCTGCTCCTGCCTCCTGTGTCCTCCATTAACACCTGATTTAACGGAACCTGAGCAGCCCAGCCTGCCAGGTCACACTTGGGTGAAGAAGTCATGGGACAAGGTCACAGGCAGCTGCAGCGCCAAAGTGCCATCAGCAGACTACACAGAACAGCAGTGCTCGTCTAAGGAAAGCTCCGCTGCTGCACGTGAAGAACTGGGACAAGTGGTTCTGTGGGAAATGGAATCCAGGCCAGAACTCGGAGCTAGGAAAGTTAGGACCATGTTCTAGAAGAAGGTGACATCACTGTGTTTGAATAAATGTAGATTTTTGCACGTAAGTATAGATTTCTGCACATCAATAAATATAGATTATTATATACAAAAACTAAGACGTCCCCTGAAAATATAATCCCTATTGTGTCCTGTGCACTAAAAACCACAAGGGGAAACACAGCCCCACAGCGGCAGGACCCCGAAGCCCCCAGGGCCCACACTGACCTCTTCACTCACAAACTTCTCGTACTCGCCACTCAGCTTGTCTCTCATCTCGTACACGTACTCCTCCACTGCGTTCTTAGCATCGTTCCGCTCCTTCTCTAGTTTGTCTTGCATGATCATTTTGCCCTGCGAACACATAAATTAGGTAGACATTAGGGCGACTCAGACAACATCCGCTTAAATATTAGCAAATACAATGTGAAAGTAGGAACCCCTTCTTCCCCAAATCCGCTAAAGTCATCAAAACAAAAGAAGAGTCGGAAGACTAACCCGGGACAAGTTCTGAAGACAAAGAGGGAAGAGCGCCAAGAGGGCACGGGGCACACAACTCGGCTGCCTGCACCCCCAATGCTCGGGAGGCGGGGCATACGGACGGCAAGCAAGGCCAGCCTGAGCAATTCAGCAACACCCCATCTTTAAGGGGAGGGGAGGGAGGAGGGGAGATAGCTCAGGGCTCTGAGTTCACTGCTAGCATCAAGAAAAAAGGGAGCATTTGGGGCTGGGGACAGCTCAGCTCACTGTGCAGCTTAAGTGGGGAGCTCTGCGGGTTAAGGATAGGGAGAACAAGCAGTGGGAATACGAAGGTGTAGGTGGTAAAAAAAAAAAAATACAGAAGAGGAACAGGGTTACAACTCAGCGGCACAGTGCCTGCTGCCAAGAGCGAGATCCTGAGCTCAAGTCTCAAAACAAAAAAACACAGGCAAGAATTTAATAAAACACTAAACGTTGGTTTAATCTCACAAGGTAACATCCTGGTGTATTTCTCATTATGCAATACCAGGAAAAATCAATTTACTCATGCAAAACAAATGGTAAAAGTGCTATAAAACAAAATTATTCTGAGATCCAGCAGTTGATCTTGATAACAAATCTCAGACAACTAAATAAATGCTCAAAAACTCCAAATTTTATACTATTCACAATCAGAAGAAAAGCTCTATTTACAAACTAACTTTCTTTTTGTGTCTTTTTCTTTTTTTATCGGTACCGGGGATTGAACTCATGACTGCACACTTGCAAAGCAGGCGCTTATGCCGCTGAGCTAAATCCCCAGCCCTATAAACTGACTTTCCACAGGGGAAGAGACTAACAAGCAAAACGGCACTCCCAAGAAAGCCACGTGATTTCTCTACTGCTCAACGACCCCACATCCCAGTCTCCACTGACCAAATGCACATCTCACATCAAACACCTCTCCCTAGCAGAGATGTCACAGCAGCTTCCAGCAACACACACCTCGTGTCGGTACCATCATGCAGAACTCTAGCACACCTGGAATCTATTACTTAAACTTCCCCTTACCAGGGGCTGGGGGTTTAGCTCAGCGGCATAAGCACCTGCCTGGCAAGCAGGTGGTCGTGAGTTCGATCCCTGGTACTGATAAAAATGAAAAAGACAAAAAAAAAAAAAACTTCCCCTTACCCTAAAAAACCTGTTTTCTCAAAGTCCAAACTACCAAAAAACGGACAGCTAGCTACCACCTACACAGCACCCAAAGGCTATGGTCACATTCGTCTATAGCTCACGGCTCTACAGGAATGTAAGCAGCCACCTCATTTTCAATGTACAGGTCGAGCATCTCTCGGTCTATCTGCCACAGCAGCTGGTTCTCAATCGGCAGGTCTACAGTACTGGTTTTCACTTTTGCCTTCTTGGCTTGAGGTGGTTGGTCCATCTTTTTATCTTTTGATCCAGCTTGAGAAGTCTAAAATTATTAAAAAAGAAACATGCAGAATTTAAATTTCACAGTAGGTCCAATTTCAAAAGATGTTTTTGCATTTTTAAGAACTTTAGTTTTCTGATAATTAACAGGATGATCACACTAATTGGATAACAAAAAATAAAAATGACATGACTAAAGTACTCAAATTTAGAGATGGACATCTTCATGATAGCTGTCCAGGCAGGAAGGTGATGGAAAACAGGAAGATGAAAAGTTTTAAGCTGAAAAAGTTCTAAAGATTGGGTGCACCACAATATATTGTATTGTAGATACTTAAAAATGGTTAACTTTATCATGTATATTCTACCCAACTAAAAGTTTTAAGAATTTAAATATACACATATAAACCTAACCTTCTACAATCCCACAATCAACACACAATTACTGTAATTTTTCAGGCTAGCTCAGGGGTAGAGGAACTGCCTGGCAAGTAAGTGCAAGGTCCTCAGTTCAATCCCCAGCACAAAATATGAAATTAAATTCTCCATTTCTCACACACCGGCATATGGAAATGTCCACAGCTACTTACATTCTCACAGGACCAAAAACCCACCCTACTGAACAGTGGCCACAAACACAATTCACTTAACTTCGTCTCAATGACATTTTCTGCTTTTCTGGAACAATAACCTTCCTTCAAACACATCCATACCAGATTTACTACCTAACTTGTCTACTTGTATTTTATCCACTGTGTCCGTAATGCTTTAGTGATTTCCCCCTACAAATGACTGGGTCTTCTAGTTTTTCCCAGTTTTATAGTCCTTTTTTATTGTCAAATATATTGATCAGTTCCTTTATGATTCTTTTTGTTGTTTTTATGCTTTTAGGGATTTTGGAGTTTGGGAGGTACTGGGAATCAAACTCAGGATACTGTGCTTGCCAGGCAAGCACTTATGCCATGAAGCTGTATCACCAACCACCACCACCACCACCACCACCTCTTTTAATGCTTTCAAAGCCTTTCCCCATCCGCAGGTTAGAAAAATAGTCCGACTCTAAACTAGCAGAACATGGGGGGGCACCCAGGAGGGATTACAGGACTGTACAGGGTTTACAGAATTTCCTGTAAAACTCAGGAGGCTGAGGCAGCCTGGGCTACAAAGTGAGTTCAAGGCCAGCCTGAACTGCATGGCAAGACTCTGTCTCAGAACTATATTTGAAAGTTGGGTGTGTAAGTTGGGTGTGGTGGCACACACTTGCAATCCCAGTACTCAGGAGGCCGAAGCAGGAAGATCACCTCAAGCTCGAGGCCAGCCTGAGCTACATAATGAGATCCTATCTCAAAAAACTGTAAAAATCAGTCTTTTTTACTGTTGGTTTTTTAACTTTTGAATCCACTTGAAATTCAGTCTGCTGCATGACATGAGGCCAAGATTCCAAAGTCATTTCCCCACCTCCTAGCCATTGTGGCCTGCTAGAAACAACATGATGAAAGGCACTTCAGGTCCTGAGGCCCCCCTCCCCTGAAAGCCCTAATGACAGCCCCTAGAAAGGTACACCACCACAGGGCACAGGAACAGGGGTGGCACACGGGGCCTGGCACCCGCCCCTCACACTGGAGTCAGACACTTCTCCCTCCTGCTGCCGCCCCAGTGTCTCCACCCACTAAAGACTGAGCGCCATCTCCTCTGTCTTTTTTTTCCTTTTTAATGTACTACTTGCAACGCTAACGTCAAGCCAAGTCCAGTCTCGCACTGACATGTAAAAGGACAGCACACTGATGCTACTTTAAGTCCCATCAAGTGTTTTGTCAATCAATGCCACAATGAGGACTCTCAAGACTGAGATGATCCGTTCCAATTTCTTAAGCAACTTTTAAGAAACCATATTTTCAATGCTAAAAACAAATCTAAACATGAAAACGCAGAATTAAGCAATCAGTGGTATGAGATACAAATTAACACATTCATTTTAGGATAAATGCATTATTTACAAAATGTACTTAACTATCTCATTTATATATCTTTCAATAAAAAGATAAAAGTAAGGCAGCTAGCAATCTGAAAAAATTACCAAGTCTCAGTTTATCAGTAACAAATTAAGGGTAGTGTGACTAAGGAATGGCAGATGAGCCAATCACCGGCCTGGCAAAGGAACCGGGGCTGCGAGAGGCTCTCCTCCTCCTGCGCCATCAACTCAGCCAGAGCTCAAAAGCACCTTGTGAACAGCACTTTCCAAATCCATTACAACATCTTACAAAGAAACTGCGCCATTAGCAATACAGCCCCTCATCCAAAACAGTGTGCACTAAAGAGACATGAAGCCAAAGTAGCTCGCACCTCCATTTCTTCAGACTCGGCCTTGTTTTCTGCCGCTGTCTGCTGCTGCTGCTCGTCAGCCTGCGGCTCTTCCTGGTCCACTTGCATCTTCTGAAAAACAGATCAAATTGAATCAATCCTGAAACGGAAAGCTATTAATGAGGGGTACACAACCCTCACGACACACTGACAGTGACGCGGCATGGAATTCCTGCTGAATTACTAGCAGTCAGAAGCCAGAGGCTCAAATCCCAGCTGTTCCACACATTACCTGGAATGATACCGCTGTCCTCTTGGAACTCAGCTGATAACATCTGAACAACTGGGCTAACGCTGCCCTCGCCCTAATGCTACGTAAACGAGAATGGCTAGGGGACGCTTTGCGAATGGTGAGTCCTTATAATGCACAAAGGCATCATTCCAAAACACAACCTCAGACAGCACGCGGCTTGCCAAGCTTCTTTACACAGGCAGATTCATTCCTACAGCAGCCTTTCTGTCTCCAGAGGTACGACCCCTGAACGCAACAGAAGAGGTGGACACACTGAGACCTCTCAGCAGACAGGGACAACAAGTCCACGGAGGCCTGGACCAGGGGTTCTCCACACCGTGCAGTGAAGGAGAATGAGCCAGGGGGCTCTGAACTCTGCTGACACTTGAGCCCCAGTCCAGACCAATTCAAATTAGTATCTGAGAATGCGAACTTGGCATCTGTAGCTGTATAAAAGGTTGACTCTGAAGCACAGGCTAAGATCCAGTGTACACTACAGCAATGGATGCACAACCCAGTCCACTTGTAAAAGTAAGGAGACGAGATTCAGCGTTGTTCCACAGCCAGAACCAAAACTCACTGAAGCTGAGAAGTGCATGGTCTGAAGCTAAGAGCCAACGGAGATCCCATGTCCACGAAAACTCATGTAAAAAACACAGGCTGCTGGCCAGGCGTGGTGCAGCATGCCTGTACTCCCAGCACTGGGGAGGCCGAGACAGGAGGAAAGCCAGCCTGAACTACCTAGTGAGCCTTGTCTCCAAAAAGAAGAAAAAGGAAAAAAAAGGAGGAGGAAGAAGCAGCAAGAAAGAAAAAGAATCAAAAGATAATCAGCACCCATGCTGGGAAAGGGATGGCACACGTCCAGTCCAAGCTCTCGGCAGCTCTCCCATCGCCCAGCCTCTCTCAGGCCACCCCCGCGCCACCGTGAACCTTCTAAGACAGCGATGGCCAATCTTTTAGAGACGAGTGTCCACCTGCAACCCACAACACACCTATGTATGCCAAAGTGCCAACACTGCAATGAAACCTGAACGCTGAGGTCTTAGTTTTTCCTAAACTTGTACATTAACATCTTCCGTCTTAAGGAGAAGCAAGTGACACGTGCCATAGGCTCGCCATCATGGCGCTAAGCCGTCCACATTACCTCCTCCTCCTTGGCATTCTGATCTGTCTCCATGGGCTCCTCATTCTCCTCAGACTTGTGCACTTCCACGAGGGACGCACTGGACACGCTGAAAATGCCATGGACGTTCACTCGAACCTTGACTTTCACTTTGGAACTGGAGCCGTCGGACTGGGGAGTGACTTTCTGAACTGAAAACTGAGCTAGGGAGGGACAGGATAAGACAGGACACACAGCACAGTGAGCTCCCGTAAGAACAAAGGCCAGGAACTAACGTGGCCCTGCAGGCAGGCCCCACCGATGGCTGGGGCTCTTACTACATCAGCGATGTCTCCCTCCTCTTTCATATACGCTCAAGCTCTTATCATCCTGACCCACCTACAGCCTCAAATAGCCCCTAAATTGTTGCTTTTCCTCTCTTAATAAATACATCACTACTAGACAGATTCCCGAAACACACAGGCTTATCATTCACTTTTTAAAAACATTTTGCTTGCTTCATTTTTCAAGAAACTGGCATTTCCAGGCCTAATTATAAAAGAGTTACTTTTGTGCTTATTCTCACAACACTACCAAATATTAACTACCATGCCTACTCTACAAATGAGGAAAGCAGAGCGGCTTAATTCCTTTCCACAGTATCTAACCATCTCTGCTAATGTTTCACTCATGTACTATAACCTTTGTTGTCTAACTTTAGTTTCTCCCTTCTCAACCTGTATGAATTCCAGATTACAAAAGCTCCCAGTGTGTACATGGAGACTCTCTTACACCCACACAGACTCTAGCCTACACTGTGTCAAAACCTACGCTGCACTGACACCGCATAAACACTTCCTAAATATTTTCTGTGTCTTTTAACTGTATGTTAAGGTCAATCTGGAATTATGTTTACTGTTTGTGCTCTTTAACGCTTCACCTAGCACCACCTTATGCACAAAGTGCACCCTCAATGTGCATTAACTGAGAAATACTGCCCCACGCTGGGGAGCCAGTTACGTTGGCTACGAACCTGTTAATTGACTGGAAGAAGTTTTTTCCTGTGATCTAAAGTACCTAAACTTCAGAATATCACATCTGTTCTTTCTGCTATCCCAGTTTTTTGAGTACATACAAGCTCCTGTTATCATTTGAATTTCTGAGTCTACTCACCAATTGCAGAGTCCGGATAAGGCAAATCCTGAGGAGAGCTGTAATAGGCCTCAAGAGTGAAAGGTTCCTTTCTATAAAATGTGAGGACTTTAGAGAAAGGAGCAGCATGGTTTTTTTGAAAGACTTCACAGTCACTAAATGGGAAAAGAACAAAACAGAAGTTTCACTTTCTAAGACTCTATATGGATAGTCAGTTAAAACAAAGAAATAGCGTTGTTTCAGCACATAAAAGGCACCATGATTTCAGCAGAGTCAAACAGGGATCTAAATATGGACATGGGGCTGGGGATTTAGCTCAGTGGCATAAGCGCCTGCCTTGCAAGCGCATGGTTGTGAGTTTGATCCCTGGTACTGGTATATATATGGACATCAACTCACCATAACTACAGTAACTGATCACTTTGTTCCGAGGACAACAAATGCTACAAATTTGTGTAAAGTAAAAAGGAGGGCAACATATGACATCAACTCTTTAAGTGTAGCTATGATTTACACAGGTATTACCTTGAGCCTTCTTCAGCTGGAGAATTCCATCTCAGAGATATTGGGTATGGCACCACATCGGTAATGGAGAACTCTCTGACTTTGAAGGCAGGTGATAAGATCGCACACTAGAATAGTAAGTTTTAAAAATTCCATGTAATAAAGCACAGACATCACGAACTGTTATCACTAGACCTATAAATAATTTGACACTATCAACACTGGTCATCCTTAAATATGTGCGTTAATAATCTAAGAGTCTGAACAAGCACTTTTACCTACCTGCCCCTCCCATAACTTATTTTTCCATTAACCCTCAAACATTATTTAATTGATGTACACCATTTTCATATAGACAGAAACATGCCAAATTCTAGTAGTATGTCAAGCTCAGAATTATCCACATTTCTGAGTCAATTTATTCATCTCTTTAGGTAGTAGCACAATTCCTTTCACAAACACCTCTGTGACAATTTAAAATAAAGCTGTCAGAAGCCCCAATTCTCAGGTAGACACATTTTGCTGTGATGATGAAGCCTCACCTGCAGTGCACAGCCTCGAGTGACGGCTTCGTCAGCATTTAATGTCGTACTAAGTTCTTTTCCAAAATACTTGCTAATCTTCTCTTTTACTGCAGGGATTCGTGTGGCACCACCAACTATCTCCACTGCATAAATATCTTCTTTCTTCAGTTCTATGTTAAAACAGTTACACATTTAGATTAAAAGAACCTTTAAATTAGTATTTCATAATGAAATAAAAAAGGGCAGTGCATGGTGGAGCGCACTCATAATCCCAGCACTGGGGAGGCTGAAACAGGAGGACTGCCGTGAGTGCGAGGCCAGCAACACAGTGGGGTCAAGGCCAGTCTGGACTACGTAGTGAGACTCTGTCTCAAAAAGAAAGAACAGAACAGAAAAGAAAAAAAAAAAAAAGAAAGGCTGGAGCCAGATGTAGTGGTGTGCCTTAGTCCCAGCTATTCGGGAAGCTGAGGCAGTTAAGATTACTCAAGCTCAGGAATTCTAGGCCAGCAGAGACAATACAGTAAGACCCCCTTCTCAAAAACTAAACAAAACAGGGGAGGGGGCGCTTCCTGATGTGCAAAGCATGCCCAACTGCCAGGATCAATAACCACTCTGACGTAAGGACTAAGCCCATACGAGTGAAAATTGCACCTCAACACTGAAGCCTTTAGCACCACAACACACAGTGCACTGGGTAAGAAAGTGTGTCCAGGTTTCAGGAAAACCACTATGTTCCTAAGTGAAAGTGCACTTAGCACCCTGGCCCGTGAGGCAGGCCCCACCTTGCAGCACACCCAGGTACTCAGGCGGCTGAGGCTGGAAGGCAGCACGAGCGACTCAGCAAGGCTGCTTCCCAAAAGAAAATCTAAAAAGGGTAGGGGCGTAGCTCAGTGGTGCAGCATCCCTGGGTTCGATCTCTAGTCAGCAAAAAAGGGAAAACTACAGCACCCTACTGCGTAAAAGCTGTTGTCTGCAGCTCCTCTCCGCTAACCGAGGACTCGCTGACTGAAAACCCTGGCACCACACCATCACACCAAAAGACAGCTTCTAACGAATACCTGAAAAGTTTTACCTACCTCTGAGTCTCAATTAGTTTTCTAGGAGAAACTTTTTGGACTGCGCTAGACATTTATCAAAGATTACTTTGGGAAGAAGGCATTCCAGAGGGAAGATAAAGATAAAAAGAAAGCAAGGAGCTCGCATAGCTCATATGACAAGTATCTGCACACTTTTTGGGAGGAAAGAGATGCAAATGCTTTGGAAGAGTCTGAAGCACACAGACAACTCTCGCACAGGCATACTTACTGGCTTGCTCCAAAACGCTACGAAGTGGCGGCTCCACTCTAGCTAGGAGATCATCACACATTTCCAGAAATTTGCCTCTGTTAGAAAAACAACAGAGAAGTCACATCCCAATTTCATGTGCAATGCATGACTATAACCAGAAACCAGGAACCAAGAAGCAATAACCAATGCTGATAAAGATGTGCAAAAATTGGACCGCACTTATACTCCTGAGTGATATAAAATGGAAAGGGCACCCTGGTTTTTTTGGGGGATTTATCTTTCTTTCTTTCTTTGAGACAAGGTCTTACTATGCAGCCCAGAATGGCCTCAAGTGATCCTCCTGCTCAGCCTCCCAAGTGCTGGGATTACAAGTGTGTGCCACCAGGCCTGCTGTTGTGTTTTTTGAGACAAAAGTCTTGTTTATGTAGCTGGCCATGAGCTCACTATGCAGCCCAGACTGCATAGTGAGCTGGTCACTTACAATGGTCACTTACAATGTTACACAGATGTCACCACTGGACCGAGGATGTCGCTCAGCAGTACAAGCATCTGCCGGGTAAGTGCGAGGTCCTGAGTCTGATTCTCAGAACAAAAATAAAATTTCAATGGATGACACTATAAAATTCTCTTAACCTTGCTGAATACTTGACAATGTCAACAATTAAAAACATGACAAGCTGGGGATGGAGATTTATGTGTTTTAGCCAGGCATGGTGACACACACCTGTTAAGCCCAGCACTCAGAAGACTGAGACAAGAGGATAATCCCAAATTTGAGGTCAACCTGGGCTCCACAGTGAGTTCAAGGTCCACCTGGACTACACAGTGAGACCCTATCTCAAAAAACAGAGGCAAACCACTGACATCCACAATTCCTCCTGATTATCAGCTCTGTACAAGGCAACCAAGCAACCAAAAACGCAAGCGGACCAATCAGTAAGCTGAAAGCAGAAGGCATCTGGAAGCCCCAAAGCAAGACTGTAACAGCTCCCTGATGAAGGGTACTGGGACAACAACAAAATGGGCCCAGCCTACAGTTCTCTTCAAGGGAAAAAAGGGATGCTACTATTAAGGAAAAACCGCCAACACAAAAATCTAACATGAGCAAGGCAACAGAAGGAAGACAAAGGAAGACACAAGAGAGAGAACGCAAATCTCAGAAAGTCAAGAAGCCACATTTTCGCTTTAAATTTCACAAGTGAGGCGTGGCGAAGCATTTCTGTAATTATTCCAACACCTGGGGAGGCTGAGGCAGCAAGACTGCAAATTGAAGCTCACCCGGGCAACTTGGTGACTTAGCACAAGATCCTGTCTCAAAATTTAAAAAGTAGCAAAAGGGCTGGGGCTGGAGCTCCCGATGAAGGCACTGAGTTCAGTCCCCAGGAACATGGGACCGTTTCACAAAAGCGAGGGTGCTCTAGAGCAGTACAATCAGACCAACTCTCAACTCCCTCCCAGCAGGTCAGGAATGCTTCTTTCACCTAAAAGTGAGTTACAGAATACGCAAACCCACAGGGACAGGAGGTGGGCTAGTAGCTGCCTCTGCTTTGGAGGGAAACAATGACTGCCACAGGTCTTTTGAGGTAACAATAACATCACATACTTAGCAGCCATGGTAGAAGAACCTTTCCAATATACTAAAAACCGCTGCATTTTATCCTCCAAAACAGTGAAATTTAGGGGTGTGAACTCTACCTCAATTAAAAAAAAGGTACAGGAAACAAAATATCAGGATGAAAAAAGAATTTAAAAGTTAAAAAAACAAATGTCAAGCCGGAGGTGGTGGGGCATGGCTGTAATCCCAGGCCTTGGGAGGCTGAAGCAAGAGGATCATTACAAGTTCTAGACCAGCCTGGGTTACAAAGTGACCTCAATAACAGGGATTTAGCTCAGTGTATTAAGTGCCTACCTGGCAGGCATGAGGTCGTGAGTTCAATTCCCTGGTACCAAAAAAAAAAAAAAAAAAAAAATCCAAATAAAGAGGAATTAAAAAAATACTTTATTAAAAGATAAGCCAACAACAATGTGAGCTCAGGCCAGCCTGAACTGCATTAGCAAGACCCTGTCTTAAAATAGAAAAAAAGAAAAACAAAACACAAATGTCAATAGGAAAAACCTAACCAGAACATACATAAGACATAGCCAATAATGCCATGAAGGACTGAAAAGGAAACAGAAAAGAATATCAGTGGAATTACAGAGACGTTCCCCAAGAAAACCAAAGCATGAAAACAGAACAAACAGACAATGTAGCTCGGGAACATTTAAATTTTAAAACGGACTAATGGTGTGAAACTAATACAAAGGCTCGGTTTACCTGAAGAAAACTTTAAACCATAATCTTCAGGTGAAAAAAAAAAAAAAAAAAGAAAATTGATCCAAAACAACCAACACCAAAACATACTGCTTTCGGGGCAGAAAAGATACCTGAGCATCTAGGCAAAAAAGAACAAGTAATGAGTAACTGAAAAGCAGGCTGTCAGGGCTGGGGATTTAGCTCAGCGGCATAAGTGCCTGCCTTGCAAGCAGGCAGTCGTAAGTTCGATCTCCAGTACCAATAAAAAGGAAAAAGGCAAAAAAAAAGAAAAGCAGACTGTCACACTCCCGACAGCCATGACATCACCATATGGTGAGAGAAAACAGACTGTCACTGTCTAACACACTCGGGTGAGAAGATACGACCACCTAAGGGTGTTCTATCCAATGAGGTGACTGTGAAGTACAAACACACAGACCAACTGTAAAGGGAAGAAACACCCTCTATGGGGGCTGGTCCTCAGGAACTCACAGAAAGCCTCAGGAATATGGTGGTACACACCTGTAATCCCAGCTCCTTGGGAGGCTGAGGCAAAAGGATTGCAAGTTTGAGGACAGCCTAGCCGGCTCTGCAAGACCCTATAGTAAAACACATGGTTTTTTTGGAGGGGGCGTTGTTTGTTTTTTGAGACTGGGTCTCACTATGTAGTTTAGGCTGGCCTTGAACTCACTATTAAGCCCCAGTCTGGCCTCAAACTTGTGAAGATCCTCCTGACCCCGCTTCCAGAGTGCTGGGATTACAGATGTGCATCACTATGGCTAGCTAAAATACATTTTTCAAAAAGGGGCCAGGAACACAGCTCAGGAGAACCCTTACGGACCAAGTGGTATGCCTTGGATTCAACTCCCGGTACTGGGGGTGGAGATGGGGGTGGGGTGGGGGAATACAAGAGAATGACCTTTCAACAACCAAAATGAAGAGACAGAGACACAAAATCAAGGAAACTGACACTGACAGGTGATGGCAAGAATGAGGGAAAAGTGGAAGCCTCATACACTGCTGAAGCGAGTGCTGAAAGTTGGCCGACTTTAACAAGGAAGAAAAATACTTTCGGTAATTCCTCCCAAAGTTCTAAAATTACAATACTAGCCAGCAATTACACATACACCCCAAAGGACTGAAAGCCACTACTCAACCAAGTATTTGTCCACTGCACTATTCACAACAGCTAACAGGTGGCACAACTCATCAACTCATGGAGGGGTAAAATGTAGTATAATCACAGTCCAGCACTACATGCACAAAAAAGGTGCTGATGTACACTACGGTGTGGATGAACCAGAAAAACACTACAGTAAGTGAGAGCAGCAAGATATGTAGGTGTGTAAATGAGGACCACGACTGTAGTGGGTATTGTGAAGTAGGAAGAAAGCGTTTGGGCTGGGGATATAGCTCGGCAGCACATCACCTGCCGGGCAAGCATGAGGTCCCAAGTTCAATTCTTGGTAGGTAGGCAGGTAGGTAGGAAGGATGAAAATGTTCAAATCAGGAGGGGAACAAGGGAGAGAGAAGAGGGAAAGGAAGGAAGGGGGAAAAAAAGCGAGAAAGGAAGGGAAACATGGAACAAAGCTTCAGTAAATGCGGAGGGGAGGAGGGCTGAAGGAAGGGTGTGAAATGGGGGAAATGTGTCATGTACAAGTACAAGTTCTCTATAAATGAATGTGATCACTATGTATAATACCTAAAATATACCAATAAAATCTGAATAAAAAGATCAGCACTAGTGACATTAATGACTAAAATACAGGCTATAAGATAGAGCATGTATCAGGGGCAATGGCCCATGTCTATAATCCCAGCACTGGGGAAGATGAGGCAGGAAGATCACACGTTCTTCAATCTTGCCTGGACAACTCAACAAGACTTTGTCTCAAAGAATAAAACAGACTGGGGACTGGCTCAGTGGAAAAGCAGCTATATGAGTCTTAGGAAAGAAGGGAAAAACAGACAGAGGAAAAAGAGAGGGAGAAAGAGAGACAGAAACAAATGAAAAAACAGCATAACTGGATCTATGTTCTGACAATGCAGACAAAGTACAATTTGTTTTTAAAAACCAGCACAAAGGCAAAGCAGTTTCTACATAAAGGGTATGAGCCCTGTAAAAACACATAACATCTGTCACTAAAGTTGGTATACTACCCCCCCACGCTGCTAAATTTGACTGGCTTTAAAAAATAAATAAATAAAAAAATAACATCTCCCTAACAACTCTAAAACACATACTGGCTCACTGCTGTCTCCAGAAAACATATGCACACACAAGAAAACTGCTGCTCAATAAAAATGCAAGCTGTCCCTTTCAAGTCAGAGAAAGGACAAGTTAAAATCTGGACACCAGACAACAACACATGCCATCTTGGTTCTCTGAAGATCACTGAGATAAACTTCTCTAAACAAGCCATGGGTCTTGTCTACAATCTATCAGCGGAGCTCACGGCCAAAAGGAACAGCACATTCCCATCAACCAAGCAACACAACCAGGCAACAATAACAGTGAGTGCTTCTAAGAACGGCCCTTGGTCAAGGTCGTCACGCAGAATCTGGGCCGGACTAGACGAAAGCAGCAACTGCTCTCAAGTGATCCCAAGCTGCTCAGAAACGAACGATTTCTTAATCAATGGCTAAATTAAATTCAACTGAATTCTACAGTAAGTATTTTGCCCTAGCTTTCACAAAAACTGCTGGCTCAGGTATTGTGTGTATGTTAGAACTGCTAACTTCCTAGAATAGCTACTCAAAATAAAATGCCAGTCTCCACTAAAGAATCATCAAACTATGGCTTCCTGGCCCTAAATCAAGGCCGGCAGCTTCCTGACCCCGGTTTCAAGCAGGAGCCGAAAGAGATGTCTTTCAGTGGTCTGTTGGCCATTTCAGAACTTGGGCAATGAAATGGTCAATTCATTAGAAAGAAACAACTTGAAGCAAACACCTCTCCCCACCCCACCCCCCAGAAGCGTAGCAGGCTGTGGTGGCCCAGGACGGGAGCCACCAGTGATTACTGGGACCTGTGCCATGCTGGGATCTAGAGTGCTGAGAAACAAAACAACCCCTCCCCACTGCCTGTTTTGTTTTGTTGAACTTCAATACACATGAAAGCATGGACAGCTATTTTGAAGAGAACGAGAGACTCTACGACAGCCATTGGTGACTTCCCCTGTTGTCTGGTTTTGAAGACCTAAAATGCCCTCCTCATTCAGTTCGGATCAGTTTTATACTATGTTGTTTTGTATGAATTCTCTGTACGCAAAGACATGGACAGCTATTTGGAAGAAAGCAAGAGACAATGTGATACTGAAGATCTCAAGTCATCGAGCTTTGAATTTTTTTTTTTTTTTTTTTTTTTTTTTTTTTTTTTTTTTTTGTCTTTTTCTTTGTATCGGTACCGGGGATCGAACTCATGATTGCCTGCTTTCAAGGCAGGCGCTTATGCCACTGAGATAAATCCCCAGCCCCCATCTAGCTTTGAAATTTGTATCTCTTACATCACTTTCTTATGTCCTATTTTGTTCTGTTTTGTTGTTTAATTTTACCCCCTTTAAGATTAAAAAAAAAAAGAATCATCAAACTTAACCTTTACATAAAAACTAAGCCCCAAATGGCCTGTAACTTTTACCCATAGAACTGAAATTATCATGTTAACAAGCATGATAATTTCAACAATTAGTTAAATAAGTAAAAAACAAAGTCACAATTTAGTTTAACATCAAAATATGATTACTGTTACCTATTCATAGTTCCAGACACATCAACATCATTCATAAAACACTCGATGCTCAAAGGGAGGTCTGAAGCATTTGCACTCATCAATTTCTTGAGTTTCTCACACTCTTGAGATAGTCGTAATAATGCACGGATTTTAGACTTTATGTCTAGCTTGTATTTCTTCCCAAATTCTTCACAGAAGTGATTTACTAACACCTCATCAAATTTTCTGCCTCCCAGTGTTGTATCAAATGCTGTAGCCAAAACCTTAGAAAAAAGATAATTGGCAACAATTAACCAATTCATTCAACAAGTTATCATGATACATAAATTGTTCAAAAAAAAGCAAGTGCACATTTCAACATGTGTTGCTGAATGCCTGAAAAAACTACACTGACAATAGACACTGCGATCCCAGATTATGCTACAGATACAGGCAAGTGAGACAGCCTGCAGGTCACCACGCTACTAAAGCTGTGGAGGTGGAAGTCAAACTCAAGACGTAATTCCAAACTCCGACAGCAAGGACACACACTGATGCTACCTATGTCCTTCCATCTCCACTCTCTCACAGCTGTGGATCACATGAAAGGCCTACTCTAAGCAGTTTACTACCAGAAAGTCACTAAAGCCTTCCTGACAACTTTGTCTCTACTTAACAGGAACCCTTTTTTGTTACTGTCTTGGTTTTTGTTTTGGTTTTGGTACTAGCACTCAAACCCAGGACCTTACACTTGCCAGGCAGGCACTGTGCCACTGAGGTATATCCCTGCCCCAGAAATTCAATGAGCTAATGTTATTAGTTTTCAAACTCTATAGCACATTATATGCAAACTAGATCTAATTAAATTCAATAAAAGGCTAAGTAAGTGATAACAATAATCTTTTCAAAGAACGCAAAAAGCCATAAAGAATGTAATATGTTACCTGGAAAAATACAGGACAAAAAACTTAAGTGTCATTTCAATTTTGCTTCCATTAAAATTAGAATGAGCCAGGCAGGGCACCATGCATCTGCAATCCCACCGACTCCGCAGGCCGAGGCCCGCAAGAGACTCACAATCTCAGCCCAGCTCAGTCAACAAAAAATAAACAGGGCCAGCAATGTAGCCCCAGTGCAAAGGCACTGGTCCCAAGCCCCAGGACCACTGGAACAAGAGGAGGGAGCAGAGAGAGGGAACAGGAGGGGAGGGGAATACAGCAAACTGTTAGAGCACCAAGATGATGAATATCACCTTGTCTTTACACGTAAATATTTTCCAAGTTTGGGGGATAGTTTTTAATAATGGGTATTTTTGTAATTACATTAAAACCAATCACAATATTTGGAAAACTGACAGGTGACAACCAACAGTAAAAGACAGTTTAGAAACTCAAACACAGGTGGTCATTAACACGTTCCATTCTGACCCAAAGCCAGGCTAAATGATGGCCACTCTTGTTTAAAAAGGTGAAAGCAAAAACACACAAAAACAGGTGAAAGCGTAAGATGGATTTCAGTAATAATTCTATTAGTGATTCAAGTTTAAATGCAAACTCATATTGTTTCACTAGTGTGACAAGCTGAAAGAAAAAAACATGTACATGTATGTATATAAAAAAGTTTAAAAATGGGAAAACTACGAGTCTCAAAACTACCAAAAACACATCTGCACTGGTCCCTCTCCCTCCAACCCCAAATTTTGGGAGGGCAGCCAATTAACACACAACTCAATTAAAGCAGACATTAGATAAAATCCTCCTAGACAGATGGAAAACTGATTTTACCCCTGCTGTGGAACCACAGCAAAGTCAACTAGGACCGTTCGCCCTCTGACTCCTCCCTATTTTGAGTACTTCTACAATTCTGTATGCTTACTACAGGGCGTCCAGAATTCCAGAAATGAGCCAGAGGGGTGACACACAACTGTATCCCCAGTATTTGGGAGACTGAGGCAGGAGGATCACTGTGAGTTCGAGACCAGCCTGAGTCACAAAGTGAACTCAAGGCTACCTGAACTGCATAGTGAGACCCTCTCTCTAAAAGATCACAAAAAAAAAAAAAAAATCCAGAAATGGCCAGATGTGATGGCACATGCCTGTAATCCCAACACAGGAGAACCACTGCAAGTTTTAAACTGGGCTGAACTATGTGGCAAGGCCCTGTCTCAGAAAACACACAGACAGACAGACAGACAGACAGACAGACACACACACACACACACACACACACACACACACACACACAAAGAATCATATGTCTGCAAGGTAAATACTGTTTGTTTTAGAGACGACAGATTTAAAACAGGATTGGGGGAGCATACTAGGGAGTCTATCTAGTGAGTTTTGCACCAAGTAACATGCCCAGCCTTTTTTTTTTCGAGACAACACCCCATTAAATTACCCAAGCCAAGTTCAAACTCGAAATCCTACTGTCCTGTGGCAGCCACATGCTGGGATTACAAACCCGTACCACCATCCCAGCTAAGCCTCGGGGATTTGAAGAGCTTTCTCTTGAGGGTGTGTTTACTACACACCTGGCCAGCTCTTACTCCTCCCTCCCCACTACTGATCAAGGAACTCAGAACCTCACACTCACTAGGTAAACACTAACACTGAGCTATACAGTACAACCCCACTTCTTTATTTTTTGAGACAAGTTTTCACTAAGTTGCCCAGACTGGCCTCAAACTTGTAACCCTCCTGCCGCAGTCTTCCAAGTGGCTAAGAGTATCATCCTGCTCCATCTCACCTGGCACCATGATGGCTTTTGACGAACTATTTGGCCCTATAATCACCATTTTGCCTCTGCAATAATTATTTTCTAGTTCATATGGCTCATAGCACACTTCCATTAGTAACTCAAAATTCATTAACCATTTGTCTCTCCAAAAACATGTAATTACCACACTCGTAATAATTTTAATGAAAAAACTATACTTACTTTCAGTTTTCCTCTATTAAATGCACATACAGAAACTTGGTAAGCAGAATGCCCCATGTCTACAAAAACTACATTTCTTGGTTTCTCTTCTAAGGCAGGAAGATCTTGTTTATAAATTCCATATGCAAGAGCAACTATACAAGAAAAACAATACAATCTAGGTAACAAACTATTTAAACAGAAAAAACAAGTTTTACATACAGGACTGGGATTAAACATATCATGTACTGTGTCTTAAATACAATCAAATTCTTTCTTTTTCCTTTGTTTTGTTGTTGTTTGAGACAGTGTCTTACTATGCAGTTCAGCCTGGCCTTTAACTCACCAAGCAGCCCAGGCTGACCTCAAACTCACAGCAATCCTCCTCCTCGCCTCTAACGGCTGGGACTGATTATACAGGAGTGCAACACCTTGCCTGGGTTCTTTTCATTTTTTAAAGATCAAATTCTTTATAAGCATTGCATAATTTTTTCCTGAGGAACATTTACCTCAAAGAGTTAAATGCTGATGGTCAGCCTTCCTTACAATTTCCCACGAACTGGGACATGTCTCCAAAAACCGATTCTCCCTCTCCAGACAGACTTTCCTCCTTTACTTCGACCCTTGTGCCATGTTAACACTCCCCCATGCCCAATGCCTACTTTACACCCCACTCCTGACTGCACCAGTCCACAAGTCGGATACAGAGACAGCCCTGATATTAAAACACACGGTAAGTGTGTTCCTTTCCAAGTAAGTGTATGATTAAGCACCGAAGTGTATACCATATCCTACAACCTTCAACATTAGTCAAAGGAGTAAAAGCATGCAGTCCCATCTCACCTGCTGTCGTTTCGTTCATTAATCGTAGGCAATTGAGACCAGCAATCTGTGTTGCATCCATCACTGACCGTCTTTCCGCATCAGTATAGAAACAAGGAACCTACAAAAACATCCACAAGTTTATCATATGATGGACATCACTTATCAGCAAAACCCAGGACTTTAACTACCTCCCACAATTTATTCTATACATGATCGAGTGTTTCAAACCATTAGGAAAAGCAGCAATATTCATGACAGCATTGGGACAAATGTTTAGTCACATACTATGATTGATTACACAGAAGATCACAGTGACAAGGTTGCGTTATTTTAATATGAAAGCCAGACTGCTGTCCTTACAAAGGTCTGCTTGCAAAATTGGCCCTTACATGGCACTGAAGAATTAATTCCGCTGGCATTTAGAACTTCTTAGTAAAGAGTTGCCTTAAGTTAACTTAAAAAAGTAAGAAATCCCTAACTGGTTAAAAGTGGCTCACTTTGCCTAAAATGTGACACAGTTCATGTAGTTTATGGTGACAGCCTGTTCTGCGAGTCTAGAAGTTCAGTGCTTTCTGGATACAGAACACCTATGTGACTGCCTCCCTAAATGAAACCCCTAGGCCTCTTGGACGCAGGCAAAAGAGGACAATTTACACACAGCACCACACCTTGCTGATGAGGGACTCACCAGGTCCTACCTAACTCCTGAAAGCCTGTGGCTTACTTCCTCCAGAAGATGTGACAAGGGACTATCTCCTTTTCTTGACTTTGCTTTATGTTCTTGCCCTGGAATAAATCTTACCATACGTCCAGCTATATGCTCAATCTTCCTACAAACCACTAAAAGTCCAGTAGAGCCTTAAGGACTTCCAAACTGCACCTAATGTACTTTTTCCTGGGAGGAAAGCCACACAGGAATTTCACTATTTCACACTGTTTTACTTCCACATGATTCAGATGAGATCAAGTGCATGCAGGGCGGTGTGATCATACACGACTTCAGCATTGTTCAGCATCAAAAGTAACAGCACAAAAACAAGGAATGGGGACAAGTCTGGGGACCAATGCAAATGTACAAAGCACAATGACAGGTGCAGTCCCCACTGCACCAGCCTCTGAGGAATCCAAGTCACTGACTCTGCACTCTTGTGCGGCATTTTTATTCTTTGCATCCCCAAAGCATCTATAATCCAATTATTCTTGACAATTCCACAGGACTGGATAACCAAGGAATCTACCAGAAAAAGCAACCTTACAGCCCTTGTTTTGCCAATCATTAAACCAAAATGAAAACAACATACGAGGAGTGAAGCTATCGGGTGACAATGGCAACATGAGGAAACAGGTGGCCCTGAGGACTCCACAGCAGGGTGAGCACACGGGGCAGTCGAGGGGTAGTTGAAACATACAGCTAGGGTTTCAGTTCAATCATCTGAAACATGATTACCATAGAAGATACATTGCCTTTAATTCTCTGCCAAGTCCTGCCCTCCCCTTGGAACACACTTAACCTGTCACCTTTGCAACTTTCTGAAGCCAAGTCTTTCAGAGGACGGTGAAAGCCACGGGAAAGGCTGCCACAGCATGCAACCACGCAGTGTGGAAGATGAGGCAGGATGAGACAACCCGGAGACAACACAGATCCATCACCAAGAAGCCCCGAGGGACCGCTTCCCTCCAATTCTCTGGGCCAGGGAAGTGTGGGAGAAGACAGAACCTCAGCCAAGAGGCCGCTGGCTGTCACCAGGTATCAGTGGAAGAGGGAAAAGCAGTCTGGCCAAGACTGTCTTAAGCCAGGCAGCCTTTCCTGGGGAAGGACAAGCACCAGACACAACAGCCTCACTCGTCTAAGTGCCTTCCTGCCTAAGCGTCCACTCCTCAGGTGGCCTGTGTGCCTGTGCCCACCCCTACCCCGGTCCAATTACTTTACTTGTGCACTTTCGCCACGCACTGTCACCATGCCTTCCTCATAGGGCTTGGGGCTCCAGTCCTGCAGCTCCACGGCACAGTCCAATCCTTCCCTCCTGGCCGGGTCCCCCAGCAACACTAGTGCACCTCTGGGCACCTTCTCCCACAGCCTGGCACCACGTGACCTCTGGTTCCGCCCCAAAGGCAAAATGACCATAAAAGACTCAATTCCGCTCACACCACTGAGAGCTGAGTAAAGACGCCAAGACAGGAAGCGGCCAGAATGATGGGGTCAGTGTGTTCAAAGCAACAGGTGATCTTCTGAAGGCAATTAATGGCAGCGTGTCCCTTACTCCAATGAATTTTTTTCACTTCAACTCTTACTGTATTGCTGGACCACACCTCGTAAGGAAGCTACATGCGGCCACGGTCCCACTCAACAGGAACAGGAAGCACTAAGGCCAGGCCACAGCTCTCGTCCGACGCAGAGAGCACACCAGTGGAGAAAAAGCCATTTACCCTGGAGCACACTCAACTCATAAACAAGCGGCTGCGGTGGGCCAGGTACAGTGAGGTACTAAACCAAACCTAGAGGCCAGGCTGCTGGTACTCGCCTACAATCCCAGCACCCCAGAGGCTGAGGCAAGAGGGCCCCTGAGAGGTCCAGGCCAGCTGTAACTGCACAGTCAAATCCTGTCTCAAAAAGACAAAAATACATACATACTTACAAACAAATAAATCTAGGAAGGTGTGGGATATGAAAGAAGCCTTGATCAATTATTTGTAAGATGACAATATGTAATTTATTAACCATAGTGATTTCTTATTTTTTTTGAAATTGTTACTACTTGTACCCTTTTACTGTTTTGTTTTTCTCTTTAAATAAAAAAAAAAAAAAAAAAAAAAAGAAGCCTTAAAAAACAGACAAGATTTAAACAGACTCAACAGTGGAGGAGATAACGGCATAACCTACCTGAGACAAAACAAGTTTGTTTTTTTTTTTTTTTTTGAGACAGGGTCTTCTGTATTTTCCAGGCTGCTCCTGACTCAGCTTCTCAGATGCTGAGATTACAGGTGTGCACCACCACACCTATTCAATATGAAACTATTTAACCTGCAGTTAAAGTTTTTTTTCTTTGCTTCATTATCAAAGTTGGTAAAACCAAATAGGGATCAAACTCACCGAAACCACACAGTCAACAACAGGCTTCTTAAGAACACTTTCTGCTGTCTCTCTCAATTTAGACAAAAGCATAGCAGTCACTTGCTCAGTGGTGAAGTTCCGCTCTTCTTCCATATATGTCACCTGCAAGAGAATGAAATAATCTACAGTACACTTCCTATCCTGGTCCTCTCACAGCCTAACATGAGGAGCTGGGAGTGATGGTACACACCTGTAATCCCAGCACCCTGGGAGGATGGTACAGGAAGATGGAAAGTTTGAGGCCCACTCTCCCAAAAAAGGAAAAAAATATTCATCACAATTTACAGAAGGAAAAAATGGAAACTAAGCTTTTGTTAACAGAAGAGAGATTAAAGGGAGGCAAAGGAATTGGGGAAAAGCAGCAAGAAATATCACATGCAGGTACAAATTCCCTACGATAAATGCTATCACTCTGAAATGCACCAATAAAATTTTTAAATGCTAAAAAAAAAAAAAATCTCAAAGAGGGCTGGGGCTGTAACTCAGTACAAAGGCCCTGGTTCAATTCCCAGTGCTGGGAAGGGAAAAATAAAAGTTTCCACATAAGCCTTACCCTGGATAAAGTCTAAAACCCTGACAAGAGCTGCAACGTTCAACGCCCGTATCCGTGACCGCCCCTCCCTGCATGCCCTGGCTCCACAGTCACAAGGACAGAGCACAGCTCTTTTGGCTGCTGGCTTCTCCTCTTCACGCTGCAGCTCAAGCACAACTGAGCATGGTTTAGCACCTAAGTTTCTTTTGTTTTCTTATTTCTGAGACAGAGTCTCAACTCTATGGCCCAGGCTGGCCCTGAACTTGGAGCAGTCCTCCTGCCTCAGTCCCTAGAGTGCTGGGATCCTAGATGAGCACCGCCACTAACACTGTCTCTCTTCCCGAACGGAACCCCCTGCTGAGCCCCCTTCTACCCCTCCTCCCTGTGTCCCGCTGTCCACTTAACTCTTAGCTACTTTTCCTCCCCCACATGGAGTTAGTAGGCCCCAGATCATCTTCCTCCCCTCCTGGCTGATGCTGGGGCCAAAGCCCCTCTCCTCTGGACTGCAGTTCGGTCCCTTAGGACACCATTATGTTCTGAAATGGCAGCCACAGACCCTGACTCAACAGTTATCATTCTTAATCAGAACTGGCCCTCTCTTAGCCAGCACACACCTGTAGTCCCAGCCCTCAAGGCTGAGGCGAGAGGATCACTCCAGTTCAAGGCCATCCTGGGCTACTTAGCAAGACTGTCTCAAAAAAAACAAAGAACAAGAAGGAAGGAAGGAAGGAAGGAAGGAAGGAAGGAAGGAAAAGAAATTGATGTTGTACTAATGGCTGATAAAATGCTGCTTTTCACTCACAGCATTATCCTGAGAACCTTACCTTTATACCTGTTAAACCAGTAGGCAACTGCACAATATCATACGCAAGGCTAGATTTTTCTGCCTCCACAAATGGATCAGAGAATGCTCGTCCATGAAATCTTTTAAATCCTTGGACTGTGTTCTTCGCATTAGAAATTACCTAAAAGAAAGATTAGGATGCAAAGACTACTATTAATACTTTTAATACTCTTCCAATGCCCTCAAATTAAGTTAGTATCGTTTTAATTTCAGAAAATTTCCTTCACACACTCGACCTTTCACACATGACGTGAGAGACGAGAGACTTGCATGGGTCTCAGTGGCAGAGGAGACTAGAGCCTGGCTATTCCTTCTCCACAAGGCCAGGTAATTACTATGTTCTTAAATAGCCAGTGAATATTTACATAATATGACTATTAGCTTTTAAAATGGCCATAGTGCCGGGGAATTAGCTCAGCAGCATAAGCACCTACCTGGCAAATACAAGGTCATGAGTTCAATTCCTGGTGCCAAAAAAATTTTTAAAAAAGAAAAGAAAAACACACATAAAAATGCCCATAGTTGATGGTTCAAATTTTCCAGGAACAAATCTGGCAACACATTATCAACTTAGAAGTTCTAGTCAAAGAGACTTCAAAGGAGGACTGGGGATGTAGCTCAGTGGTAGAGTGTTTACGTAGCATGCACAAGGCTGAGTTCAATCCCAGCACCACAAAAAAAAAAAAAAAAAAAAAAAAGAAAGAAACTTCAAAGGAAAAATGATGACATGAAATAGACAAACATGGAAGCTAAAGGATTAAGAGGGGAGTAGTGTTTATAACTGTAGAAGACTGGAAACAGTCTGATGTCTCTGCAGTAACAGGGAAACACTGAAACAAATACTGAAATGCTCGTGTAATAAAATACCACAAAACAAGCAGGACTTTTTAGATGAAAAGCTAAGTATCTTAGTATAACCTCACTTTGTTAAACAGGGAAAAATGCACTTAGCCAGGCACAACAGAAGCCTGTAATCCCAGCTACTCAGGGAGGACAACCACAAATTCAAGGCATACCACACACAGGAGGATTACCAGGCCGGCCTGGCCTACACAGTGAGCTCAAGGCCAATCTAAATTTCCGAGCAAAACTTCTCTCAATAAACTGAACCAAAACAGAACAAAAATTCAGGCTTCCTAAGTAACTCAGCAGGACTCTGTCTCAAAACAAACAAAAAAATAAGACTGAGGGTCGGACACACCTGTAATCCCAACACTCAAAGGCCAAGGCAGGTGAATCACTGTGAGGTCAAGACCAGCCTAGACTAGAGAGACCAGGTCTCAGGGCTGGGTATTTAGCTCAGCGGCATAAGCGCCTGCCTTGCAAGCAGACAGTCGTGAGTTCAATCCCTGGTACCGATAAAAACAAAAAAGACCAAAAAAAAAAAGAAAAAAGAGACTGGGTCTCAAAGGAAAAAGAAAAAAATACTTAAAAGAAGAAAATATTGGCAAAGACTTTTAAAATTTTCCCAAGTGAATTTGTGGTTAGGACTCACTGGTGCCTCCTCTCAAGGCTGATCCAAGAAACCCTCCACGGAGATAGCACAGGGCTCCTCACAATCGCACACAGGGTCTTTTGATAAAACAGGTGAGGCCTCCGAGGCAGGCCCTGCTTGAACAGCTGCCAAAAGGAAAAACTGTAGCACAGGAAGTACACCCTTAGAACAGGGCAGTGCACTGAGCACTTTAACTGTTCAACAATGAAATCAAGTTGTTTTTGTTTTTGTTTTTTTGTTTTCAGTACCGGGGATTGAACTCAGGACCTTGTGCTTGCCAGGCAGGCACTTACGCTGCTGAGCTAAATCCCCAACCCGAAACCAAGTTTAAAAACACTGGAATTTTAAAAAGAAACACATTAGGAAACAGTCTTCAAGTTATCTACTTCCTCCTGATAACTTAAACTTTCTGCAAATAAGACTATAAAACAATTTAATTAACAACCAACGACCAAGCACAATTTTCTTAGCCTCATAAACTGCAGCCTAAGAAAAGTTCGTTTAGGGGCCAGGGATTTAGCTCAGCGGCATAAGCGTGAATTCGATCCCTGGTACTGATTAAAAAAAAAAGTTCCTTTTTTTTTGGGGGGGGTACCAGGGATCAAATACAACTATGCACTTGCAAGGCAAGCGCTTATGCAGCTGAGCTAAATCCCCAGCCCCTCTTTCTTTTTTTGTGGGGTACTATGGAGTTCAGACTGGCCTTGAACTCACAGCAATCCCACTGCCTCAGTCTTCTGAGTGCCAGGATTAACAGGTACATGTGCCACCAAGCCCAGCAGAGTTATTCATTCTGTATGTTGTTCCAGAATGAACCATAAAAAGAACAATAGGCAGGTCCTTAATTTACAGAGAGAGTTTGCTGCTCTGGTTACTTAGAAACCAGCACAGGTACCAGGTACCTAGTTTACAAAGCAAACTAACGACAAATGCTTCAATATGTCTCTGGAGGTGGATCTTTCTTAAGAATCTTGATTAACAAGATCAACAGGCCTTGGGGTACACACTTGTAATCCAGCACTCAGGAAGCTGAGGCAGGAGGCCAGCCTGGGCTACATAATGAGTTGAAGGCCAGCCTGAATTAATAGCAAGACCCTGTTGAAAGAAAGAATGATCAACTGATCTGGGCAAATAAATGGTAGCAGGGGGCTGGAGATTTAGCTCGGCGGCATAAGCGCCTGCCTTGCAAGCAGGCAGTCGTGAGCTCGATCCCCAGTACCGATAAAAAGGAAAAAGGAAAAAAAAAAAAAAATACATGGTAGCAGTTTACAATAAATATACTGATATTGCACGGATATTATACTGATGTATTACAATAAATATATGATACTGATATTTCTACTTCAGAGCTGTTTCCCACTCAAATATGTATGAAGAGAATCAGGTCTGGCTCTGCCAGCCACACACCCAGGAACTGTCAGTGACAGACAACCAAGAGAAGGGATTTGAAAAAGAAAATTCTACCTGGCTTTTAGCTGCTGCTCCAATTGAACGATTCTTAGGACCAAAAGAAATGCAAGCCCTAGAAGATAAAACAAACATTTAAGAAACAAACTTTATGCAGCGCTACATTCAAAACCAGCAAGACTTAGGAATCTCAGCTTCAAAGTGACAGACTTGGGGCTGGAGATTTAGCTCAGCGGCATAAGCGCCTGCCTTGCAAGCAGGCAGTCCCTGATACCTCGGTTCCTAGTTCCTAGGATCGGTACCTCGATCCCCAGTACCAATAAAAAGGAAAAAGACCAAAAAAAAGTGACAGACTTCACATACAACATAACGCCCTCCATTTCAACCTTTGTTTTGAGTACAATAGTCCACAGAACGGGCTGCCCCTGAGAACTGTTACTTAAAAACTGGAGTACACGTCTGAACCACCTGTGCAAGATACGAGAGACAGACAGAGACAGAGACAGAGACAGAGACAGAGGGAGACGCCAGGCCCCACCACCCTGAGTCTCACACCACTGTATTGACTAAATAATGTTCTTGTCTTAAAGACAGCGCACAACCTCACCTGGAAAGAAACCCTGCTAACAACTCTCATACTACTGCATATTAACTAAAAAACCTGCTTTTCCAGAGCTAGCTTCCAAGGACTCAGAATTACGGACAGCAAAGTTCATTCTCCTTAAGTCTCTTCTCAATCACCAGTTCACAAACTGGTTTGATCTATTTACTGCTTCTTTTAGGAGGCAAAACTGGAACTGATGGAAGCTGTAAAACAGCGCTGAGGCTTCAGTGGTCCTGAAGTTGGTGCCTCTGCCCTCACAGCTCCTGTTTTCCACGCTCATCCTCTAGAACCACGCCCTGTGCAACCTTCACTCACATCACTTCCTTCTCCACCAGCTGCTTTCACCCTTTAATCTATTTTTGGTTTTTTAAGATGGAATCTATGTGATTCAAACTGGCCTTGAACTCACTCTGTAACCCAGGCCAGCCTCAGACCATGTCTCAAAAAGAAAAAAACAAAACCTGCTTTCTTCAAAGTAATGAGAAGTGTTTCACATATTTCAAAAAGCCAAATAAGTATGTCTCAGTTCACATATTCAACCTCCTTTTTCTGACCTAATCATAGCTGCTGCAAATAGTTCCCAACTTCTTACAAATCAGTAAGATGTCACTAATGGAGTCTGTCTTTACCACATAACACAGCAATTAAACCTCCAAGTCCCAACTCAGGTAATGCAAAAATGTCATACTTGCCTTACCATATTATACGATTTTTATTATACGATTATTAATTATGTTACGTGGCAAATACAACAGGAATACAGCTCAGTGGCACAAATGCCTACCTGGCAAGCACAAGGTCCTAAATTCAATTCCCAGTACAGGGGGGTGCTCGAAGCAGAAGCACGATTACATTAAAAAAGGACACAAATTATACTACAAATATATCACATCAATTTTATTTGGGGGTACCAAGGGATGGAACTCACAACTTCACGCTTGCCAGGCAGGCACTTATGCCATTGAGCTAAATCCCCAGCCCAATTTTTAATTTTTTGTTTTGTTTTCTTATATGCTTTTAAAAAAAAAAAAAAGTCCTGTAATAGAACAACTATTGTACTAGAAAAAGAAATCCAGACTTTTTCACCTTGGCATCAACTTGGTGGATCAATAAAAAGCACTAAGACAAGACAGGGTGGGCGACCTTTCTAACTGTGTGGCTCCTGTCCCTGCATCTTTGAGATTTCATTTGCTCATCTCTAAAATGGGGGAAATCACAGCACTCACAGGATTTCTGTAGATTAAATCTGATGAGACACTTTTAAAGGGTTTGTAACAGAGAACAGTATATCATAGATAAGCTCTTTCAGCCCCAATAAAGCCATGGAATCTATTTTATATAAAAACAGACAAATTAGAACTAGATTGCTCTGAAAATTGTTTCAGCTTCACCTGTCCTCAGAAATCCAGCCAACCAGTTTTACAATTACCTATTCACTGGGACATTAAAAAAAAAAAAAGCTTCTGCCTGACAAGCCTGAGGTCATGAGTTTGATCCCCAGTAGCAAAAAATAAAAATAAAAACACCTACTTTCATTAAGTTTTAAAAGCAAATGGGGAAAAAAAGCAGGATGATCAATTCACTGAAATGAGTCAATATATAAAACACAAAGTGGTTTAAAACTAAAAGCTTACAAAAGGCATCTACTACTTAAGTAAGTAGAAAGCCTGAAAAGATTAACTTGCCGTTTCTGTATAAACTCATGAGGAAGGGGGAGAAAGCCCACACACACACACAAAAAAAAAGAACAGGTATCAAGAAAAAAATAAAGAGATCTGAAGTTCCACATCCCTCACCACCATAGATGGCCAACTATTAGCATGCAGGTTAAGTACTTGTGTACAATCCAAATAAACCCAGTCCTAACATATAAGTCCTTTAAAAAAAAAAAAAGGAAACGCCATTCTGCTGCCTCCTTCTCCTCGAGGAGTGCCCAGGATTCTGACAAGAACCCTTAAAAGAAAAGGGACCTCCTGCCATCCCCCACCAAGAATTCTCAACCCGTGCACACAGCCCGCCTCCAAACACGCCAGGCCACTCGAAGCCCTGTTCACGCCAGCAGGTGAAGCTCGCTGTCTGACAGATTTCATTACACATCTCCTTAAGCAGGCAGCACACTCTGTCCTGCACCTGATACTTCCCAACACTCTGGGCAAAGAACTATTACTGGCCCACTTCGCAGACAAAGAACCAATTCAAGTTCATGTACCCAGAAACACAGTTGGTAAACAGTAAGTCTAGAATTCAAAACCAAGGCTATCTCACTCCAAACCCCCGCACACATGCTCTTCTACTGTTTCCCAGGCCGTTTTTTTTCTTCTTTTTTTCTTTTTTTTTTTTTTCTTTTTTTTTCTATTGTCCTGTTTGCAGTATCATACATGATCATCAAACTGCTGCTAGAGTGTTCATACCTGTTACTGCAAAACCCAGGGAAAACTCCCCCTGGGAATTTACTTTAGGTCAGGGTGGGGCTGCCTGGTCCGAAGCTGCACCCCCCCAGGCGGGGTTCGTCACACAGGAGCCTTTCCCAGACCACCCTTTTCTATTTCCTACCTTCACTCAGGCTACCCAAATAGGTTCCACCAGAACTTTTTTTTCTGGAGACAGGGTCCAGCTACATAGTTCAGGCAGCCTTAAGATCACTATATAGCCCAGACTGGCCTCAAACTCGAGATGATCCTCCTGCCTCTGCCTCCTGAGTGCTGGGAGTATAGGCATGAGCCACCACGCCCTGTTCCACCATGTATTTTGACCCCATTTGCTCATATCTCATTCTGCCTTTCCTATCACTCCAGTCCGCACCAACGTACCCTCCCCCTGAACATGTCCATCTCAGTGTGCACTATAATCCTGGCCACAACTGTATTCTCATGCTAGTTTCCTTTATGTCATTCCCGTATCATCCCAAATCAATTACACCTCAAAGTGCAGGAATCGTCTCATACTTCTTATCTACTTTACACAATGCCAAGTCAAGGCGGTGTAAATCGTCAGTAATCATGTTCCCTCTCAGCAGGACATGACTTTTCCTCCATTTCAAAGCACATCAGTTTGAACTGATTCTTCATCCTCCTGATATGCAGGAAGTGAATTCAAATTTCAGTTCCAGATCCCTCTAGTCTAAACTTTGAGTCTTAGAAACAGTACATTCATTCAGCCAGGTAACTTGTTCCCCCCAGTACAAGATGCTACTGACCAAATATTTATGCACATTCTGCTATTACTATGAAAAACCACAATCCCACACATCCTTAATAGTTTCATATTTGAGGTGTGTGCAGAACTACTCTCAGTATATTAGAAAGCTGTTAATCTTTGCTAAACCACAAAAGAAAATAAGCTTTTCATAAACCCACAATAGTAAGACTGTCAAATAAGAGTAGTGGCAAAATCCACATGGGAATGCATACCACTTTAGTATTGTCTGGGTTTTTCCTTAGCTCTGAACTAGAAAGTAACAAACACCACCAAACAGACCAATCAACTTATACTTTTCAGATCTACAGTTCCTAAAATTCACCACATCCTTAGTAAATTTTGAACATTAAAAGGTACACAGCTGGGCTGGGGATTTAGGTCAGCAGCATAAGCACCTGCCTTGCAAGCCCACAGTCGTGAGTTCAATCCCCAGTACCCAAAAAAAAAAAAAAAAAAAAAAAAAAAAGATGCACAGCTTACAACCTGAAAGGCAAACTTCCAGGTTTCATTCATTTTACTATCCCTAGACTCTCACCCAGTAATAAAAGCACTAATAAATATAAGATGTAATTGCAGTAGAGAACACATTTTGGCATTATTTACTATATGCCAGGCATTATTCTATGCACTAAGTTTAAAAAAAAAAGCATGCATTGTACAGTTTTATTCTCATTTGTAATTCTCATAATCTTCAGTGAGGTAGAGAATCACTTATATTCCTATACAAACTAACCCCTCAAACTTCTGGAAAGTATTCCGGCAGTATGTCCTGAAACTATAAGCACATTCTCTGCCCTATCAATTTCACTTCTGGAAATTGATCCAACAAATTTAAAAATATGAACATGTGAACATAAATACATAAAACTACTTGCTGAAAAACTATCTGTAACAGCAAAACAAATTAGAAATTTGAAGAAAACGCAGTAGAGCTGTAATAGATCATACATTTTTGAAGGCAAATTTTTATTTACTATGAAAAATGTCTGAAATGTGAGAGAAAACTATTACAAAATACTGAATGATCCTGTGTTTCAACACACATATATGTACGTGTGTGTGTAAGGAAAAGTTATGAGATGATACACAACAAACAGCAAGTGATCAGGAGCGGCAACTTAGTCTTAGTTCACCAATTTTATTATTATACCAGACTATTAGTATCATAGCTAGGAGTGGCAGTGCCTGCCCATGATCCCAGCACTCAGGAGGCTGAGGTGTGAGGATCCTTGCAAATTCAAAGCCAGCCTGAAGGGCACAGGAAACCCAGTTTCAACACCTGCGCAATAATCAAAAACCCAAAAAAACGTACTGTGAGGCCACTCGTCCTCTCCCACACTATCACACTGGTGGAAACCAACAACTTCCACATGGGGTAAGCACTGTAAAAGATCACTTGCCCCACTCTCCTCACAACAGCCAATCACATTTCTTAAATGTAAACTGGTGAAAAAATAAACAGCGCTTACAGGCCCAGCCAGCCATAACCTAGTGTGGGGCAGGACTAACTCTTCCAATTCACCCCAGGCCATCTCCTCAAGGGGCCCAAAGCAGCCTGGCCCTCTCAGTCAAGGGTACCTTGCTCCTCTGGCCTCAGGTCTTACCTGTGGTCCCTTCAGTGGCTTAACAGTTCATCCTCAGTCCCACCGTGATCTTCAAAATAAACTGCTCATCCTCCACTTCTCTCAGAGCACCGTTCAATTTGACCTCATCCAACTGATCTTATGTCTCCCTGTTACACTCTCACTGTATCCTGTACTTTCTCATCTTATTTTTTACCAATCAGTAATTACATACTTATTTAACATCTGGCTTTTTCACTAGCTATTCCGTGACAGCAGGATACCATTTGTCTTCTTGCCTCCAGTTCTTAGCACAGTGGCTGCTGTGCTGCTAACTTGAAAGAAGCTTGAATTTGGTGGAAAGGCAAAGATTTCACTAGATCCTCAAAAATGGAGATCTAGCCAGGCATGGTGGTGCTAACCTATCCTAGCACTGGAGAGGCTAAGGCAGGAGTACTGATGTGAAATCAAAAGCAGCCTATACTACACAGTGAGTTCCTGTCGCCAAGAAAAAAAAAAAAAAGAATCCAGAGCATAAGCTTATAATCTCACTGCTTAGGAGGCTGAGGCAAAGGGATCATGAGGTCAGCCTGGGCCACACAGCAGCCTAGCCATCTTAGCAAGACCTTATCTCAAAAAACAAAATATCACAATTCACAATTTGAAATGACATTCATCTTCCTCACCTAGCAAGATGACACCCAGGAGGCTGAGGCAGAAGGAAGGCTAAGTCTGAGGTCAGCCTGGGCTACAGAAGTTCAAGGCCAGCCTAAATTGCATACTGAAACCCTGTCTCCAAAAGACCAAAAAAATAAAACATCCACCTTCTACAAAAATAAAGATTTCTGCTACTTCTAATTAGCCTAAAATTCCAATACAGAGATCTAAATTAACAAAATCAGGCCAGGTGTGATAGTGAACACCTTGCAATTCTAGCACATGGGAGGCTGAGGCAGGAGGATCGCTGGATTGAGGCCAATCTGGGCTACAAAGTGAGCCGAAGGCCAGCCTAAATCAGAGTGAAACCCTGTTTTGAAATGACAAAAACAAAAATCAGTTATAAAAATATGAATTGAAACTTCTCCAACTTTGAAACTGGGAGGAGGAATGACAATCAAAGTATGTTATACACATGAACAAACGTGCCAAAATGAGCCAGGCATGGTGGCACATGCCTGTGATCCCAGCACTCTTGGAGGCTGAGGTAGGAGGATCTCAACCTTGAGGCCACGCAGGCAACACAATAAGACCCTGTCTCAAAATGTTTTAAAAATTAAAAAGGAGGGCCAGGGATTTAGCTCAGCGACTAAAGCACTTGCCTGGTAAGCATACCAAGGTCATGAGTTCGATCCTCGTACCAAAAACAAAACAAAACAAAAAAAAAAAGTTTAAAAAGGACTGGGGAAATTAACACTGCAAACCTGAGTTTAATTCCCTATACTAGGAAAACTACTTGAATCTTGAATATGTAGCAGTCCCACATAGTATATGAAACACAGGAAATAATTTAAGACACTTAATTGTATTCTCTTCACATGTCCCCCTTGGAGCTCAAGTTTGCTGAGTATTACCCAGACAAGGAGTGAGAAGCTACATGCCCAACTCAGCACTCTGGCCCTTTTAGTTCCTTGGAAAGACTACCATTACAGACAAAGAAAACTAGGACCAAAGGCAGCAAACAGGAAATTAATGATCAAATGCTCAAGAACAGACTTAAGTACTTTCATACACTTCTTTGCAAACAAATCACAATACCCACCCTTAATTATAACCAAAAAGAAGAATGCAGTTTCAGTGTCCTCCCCCACCTTTTTTGTTTTCTTGGAAGAGTGAGGAAAATTTGATTGTGATAGTCCCACTGTTCTGTGACTACACTAAATGTTGAGCTGTCCATGATTGCTCAAAAAAGCTGTTAAGAAAACTATAAACAAACTTGGGGAAGAGACAGCAAACCATAAGGTTATGGAAGGGAATTTCAGGTGAAGCACATGAGTTAAGATATAAGGGGGTTGGAATTTGCCAAGTGGAACGCGGGGAAGTTTATGAGCAGTAAAGTATAAAGAGCACAGTTTGGCTGGAGAGCTGCACAGTGAGAACCTCGAATTTTTAAAATGTCTTCTAAGAGATTCTAAGGGGAAAATGAGGTTGAAAATCATCTACATGTATTCCAAAAACAAAGCTCTTACTCTAACCAAGAAAAGACCTAGGTGAGTCACCTCTTTTGGAGCTTTGTCTACACTGGTCCCATAACTCAACATAGGTTCTAGAAGTCAAACTGAGCCCTTGAGTCATTCATGAACAACTGTAGCCAACACCCGGGTGGAATGTATTATCTTCAAAGTGCACCGCTACAAAGGCGTAGTTGCCCTACAGCCTGGGCAGAGAATGAGTATTTCACAGCTCAAAATCCTGAAATGATGTGGAAAGCAAAAGTGAATGTAATGATAACAAGTCACCAGTGATTTGGGTAAATCCCTTTCTTTCTGGCCACCCGTTCCACCCCCATCTCAAGACTGGGCCCAGCCGAAGCTACCTGTCCTCCTGCAGCCTCTCTTCCGGGCGCTACCCCGCCCCCACTCACGTGGGACTTTGACTGCTCCACAGTCTCGCGGCCGGCAATCGCTAGTACCCATTTCAGTCAAATAGCTTTTTTTTAATTAACCGCTCGCTGTATGTAGAGCTCTGAGTCCTCTGTTAAGCTCAAAAGACGTCATCATGCCCCGGACAAAAAGCATTTCGGCCCATTCAATGTCCCACACCAGCCTTCCCCCCAGTTTCCACCGGAGCTTTCCTTTAGGACTAGCTCCAAGGCCCCGCATGAACCGCGCGGGAAGCCTTGCGTCGGTACAGACCGACGCTCGCGGCGGCCCGCAGTCACGGCTGACCCGGTACCCACTGGGCCCCCAGCTGGGAACGCAGGCGATAGCCTCGGCCCCATCCCCTGGGCCGACTGGTGCAAGCGCGACCTCCCCACCCGGTGCACGCGGCCAGCTCCCCTCCCACTTACGGGGTACAGCGGTCGCTATACTCATTAGCTATCGTCTCGATGCCGCCGGCACGGGCTACAGCGACGTAGCAGCTCTGAAAGCCCAAATCTATGCCCACCACCGACATGGCGCCGGCTACTGCTCGGGCTCGGGCCCGGGTCCGGTCACGGAGACAGGACACGGACCCTGGCGGGGCTGCCGCGCGGGAAGCAGGCCGCGTGGGCCGAGGGACCGAGGTTACTGGGGGGCGAGGTTCCACGCGAGCGCTTAAGTCCTTGGAAGAACCGCAGAGCAGGGCGCCACTCAGGACGGCTCCGGCTCAGCGGCCGCAGAAGAGGCGCCGGTAGCGGAGGCGGAGAAGATCTCGAAGGATCTCGCAGCGACCGGAGACCTGCAGCGCGAGAGCTGCGCAAGAACGGAATGTTCTCGCGAGATCCAGGCTCTTAAACGCTTCTACCGGAGGCCCCGCCCCAAGTACGTAACGCTCAGTCACTTCCGCTCAAAACGGAAGTGAGCTGTGGAGGGCTTCCAGGTTCAGTAGAGAGTGGGAGAGTCGGCTGGAGGCCACAGGCGGAAGCGATGTGGTCGGCTAACTTCCGCTGCTTGTCTTTTCTCTCAAAGAAACTTCCGGTGCCGGCCTCGTGGGCGCTCCACTTTGTGTTAATCTCCGGAGTGGGACCGCAAGCTCCTCTCCCTTGGGGGCGCATCGACCTGTATGGGAGGGTGCTGCTGTGGACACTCGGCCCCGAGTATGTCCTTAACTGGAGCTGTGACAATCACGCAGCGCCCTTACCGCCGGTAGGAAGCACTCCCCTCCCAGTCACTCCGCCTCCTTTTCTTTCTGTCTTGCCGCATCACGATCTCCGAATCACGCGGTTCCTCGGGGGACACCAGGGACCTGAAGTACGAAGTCTCTTGATCCCGAGCTCACCCTAAGCACCCGCTCATTGCTAGGCCCTGAGCCGGATGCGAGGGGCCCAGCGAAGACATGGTACCCACTCTGGAAGGGCCACCCAGACTAGTCAGTGGCAGGATTGTGGGAGAGCTGCAAGGTCTTCAGCTTCAGGGTCTCTCACGTGGACAGGCTCCTGGAAATGTAGGGAAGGTGAGAGTCAGGGGTGTTGCCGAGCGTCAGCTGGTGATCCGGAAACAAGGCTGGATAAGCATTTCTGATAATCACCTAAAGAAAGCTCGGAAAAAGGGAATCGGAATCCCCAAATATCCCGTGACTTTCTGTTATAGATAGCTAAATTATGTAGGCAGTCAAACAGGCCTGGGCCCTCCAGGGAGTCAGTGCAGAAGATGGAAACAGATCACAGCTGTGGCTGGAGGGCATCTGTTGGAGGCCAGGCCTGAAGATAAGGCTCTAGTGACCAGGCCTGTTGCCTCCCACAGGGATAAGCAATAGACTATAATTGTTATCACCTGGTCCAATAAAGCCTGGATAGACATAAATCACCCAAGTGAGGGACCAGGGCCTCCAGACTCATCTTTTCCTAAAAAGGACCTTGTTCTTTCCATGTACACTTGCTACCTGACATGTTCCCCCATTGGGTCAGTATTGTCTAAATGACTATTTGTGATCTTACTGGTTGATCATAGTTTTGTCCCAGATTGTACCCACCTCAGGATTTTGCTCTATAAAATCTACTTTTGGATGTGGGCTTGTTGGCAACCCACTCACATAAAGGGTCCTCAAAAACAGAGAAGCTTCAGATCTACAAAACTTGATCAGCCAGGCATGATGGTATACACCTGTGATCTCAGCACCCTGGGAGGCTCAGCCAGGAGGATCTCAAATTTAAGCCCAACCAGGGCAATTTAGCAACTTAGTGAGACTGTGTCTCAAAATGTAAAAGTTTTAAAAGCTGGAGATGTAGCTCAGTGTGATCCCAGCACCAAAAGTTAAAAAAAAAAAAAAAAAAAAAGTGGATCCTCCCCATCAAGGATAGCTAAACAAGTCTAGAGGACCCTACTACAGGTGACAAATGCTGTGTGTACACATCGGTGGATGCTAAGAGGACTTCCAAGAAACAAAGCTATGTTCCCCCCCAAAAAAGAAGCAATAGGTGATCTGATTTGAAGACTACATGCCTTTTGCATTGCTGGAGGATAGACTGAGTAGAAGTTCTCAGAGACAGACTACTGTAATTGCCTTTGGACCACTGACAGAGTGACTGCAAGAGCTGGTTTGGGTAGCATATATACTAATGCACGAATGACAGAGAAGACTTGCTCCTGTGCAAGTATGATACAAATTCACTGTTCCATTTTTTTTTTTTTTTTTTTTTTTTTTTTTTGTCTTTTTCTTTTTTATCGGTACCGGGGATCGAACTCACGACTGCCTGCTTGCAAGGCAGGCGCTTATGTCGTTGAGCTAAATCCCTTGCCCCAACTGTTCCATATTTTAAAAAAACAGGCTGGGATTAGCTCAGCGGCATGAAAACCTGCCTTGCAAGCGAGGCGGTCCTGAGTTCGATCCCCAGTACCAGAAAAAAGAAGAAGAAAAAAAATACATGGAGGATTTTTTGTTTCATTTTTGGTACCAGAGATTGCTGAGCTAAAGTCCTAGCTATATGATGAAATACAAACATTGAAAACATGTGAAGTGCAGCCAGGTGTGGTGGCTCATGCCTGTAATCCCAGCAACTCAGGAGGCTGAGGTGGGAGGATCGTTGCGAAACCAGCCTGAACTGCATAGCAAGACCCTGTCTCAAAAAAGACAAAAAAGGGCTGGGGATTTAGCTCAGCGGCATAAGCGCCTGCCTTGCAAGCAGGCAGTCGTGAGTTCGATCCCTGGTACCAATAAAAACGAAAAAGACCAAAAAAAAAAAAAGAAAAGAAAACATGTGAAGTGGAAAAACAATTAGACATGTTCCATAGGATTCTGTTGAGTCTATAAGAGCTCTCATCGTTCCCAGGAGGAAAAATTATGAAGGGGTGAAGAAGATACAGATGGAGACAGAAAACTGGGGCCAGTTGGAGCCCTTCCTCCAGATGGGAAGACAAGACCATCATGCATATATTTACACATTTGTCATATGCCAGCCCCTTTGCCCTTTGCTTACCCAACTTGCTGCTTACACCCCACACCATGTACTTGGTTCGCCTCCAGCACCCCATGCCCTCAGCGTGTTCCCCAGACATTCTGGGCTTCCAGCTCTACCTGTGTGAAAAGTCACTAGCTCAGCTCCCAACAGGATTCCACTTGTTCTTCAGTTTTTGTTTTGTTTTTCAAGACAGTCTCACTAGAGCTCAGGCTGACCTTGAACTAACTATGTAGCCTAGGCTGACCTGGAATTCCGAGTAACCCTCCTGCCTCAGCCTCTGAGTGCTGGGATCCAGGCATATGCCACCACGCCCTGCTCATAGGATTCCACTTTTATAAGGTACCTATAAAAGGCAAACACCCAGGAAATGGAATATTGGTTAACCAAGGCTTGTGGGATGGAGAGTTACTATTTAGGGATACAGAGCTACTGTTTGATACGATGAAAAAGTTCTGGGGCTGTATAGGAATGGTTGCACAACCATCTGAATATACTCAATGACACTGATTTGTAACAAAAGATTAAAATGGAGCTGGATGTCAGGGGAAAGCCTGTAATTCCAGCACCCAGAAGCCAAACATGGGAAATGCTTTGGTTCAGCAGTCCTGAAACTCACATATTTTATCACAGTTTTTTTAAACTTTGAAAAAAGAGAGCCTGTGATCCCACCACCTGGGAGACTGAGGCAAGAAAATCACCATGAGTTTGAGGCCATCCTAGGCTACAAAGTGAATTCAAATTCAGCATGAACTGCATAGTGAAACCCCGTCCAAAAAAAAAGCAACAAAGGAAAAGGAAAGAAAGAACCAGGCGTGGTGGTGAATCCTGTAGCCCAGCTATTTGAGTGGCTGAGGTCAAGATCCCATGAACTCTAGTTTGAGGCCAGAGTGGGACACAGTGAGACTCAGTATCAAAAAGTAAAGAAATTAATCTTTCTTAAAGATTAATAGTGTCCTTCCTCTGCTTCCTATTTTTCTCTCCTTCCTGGAGTGACTACAGATAACCTAGGACCTTAATTATGACAGAGTCCTGTCTCCCTCTGTTTGTCTTAGTTACTGAGCAGCAAACAGTCCAGGTCGGAGGCTGACGTTTCTAATCTACACAAAAGATCACTATGTCAGAGTTTCTGACTCAGTTCCCGCCTGCCTTCTCTTGGCTAAACAGGCCAAGATACATCCAGCGCTCTCTGTTCCAGCTTCGCAGCTCGCCTCCCCTAGTGGCCTTGGCAGTGCCTTCAGTTGCAAACACCACCAGTCCTATCAATCTTTTTAAGGATTCATGGATTGTAACTAACATCCCAAAATAAAGTGTAACCAACATCAGTCACAGAGAGTACTCATCCTGCTATAAATAGTGTCTTGAATCATCAGACTTATAGCGCAAGAGGCTATTCTGGGATATTTAAATAAATGAAGTCAGAAAAAGTTATTTGAAAATTCTGAAGAATCTGAAGTGGCAAGTTTCTGAGAACCACAATTGGGAAGGAATAAAGTTTCCACAATAGTTCATGTTAGAGGTTAACGACGGGAACACAAGTTCTTTTAATTCATTAGAGCATCTGAGTATTTTACAAGCAATTAGCCTTTATGTTTCCCTCTGTTCCGATGATGACTTTTAGTTCGAAGCAGCCATCAAAAGTGTTGGTTTTGGTTGGCCCACTGTAGTGGAGATGGAACCCAGAGGCGAGGCGGTCAGCTGCTGAGCGCATCCCCACCCCTTTTTTATTTTTGTCTTTTTGAGACAGGGTCTATCTACATAGTTCAGCCTGACCTTGAATTCACTCACTGCCTAGCTCAGGCTGGCCTCAAAATCGCAGTAATCCTCTGGCTTCAGTCTCCTGAAAGCTGGGATCACAGGCATGCACCACCACACAAGCCTTCACTGTTGTAAATTTTAAGGCAAGCCCTCACTGAATTGTGCATTCTGACCTTAAACTCCAGATCCTCTGCCTCTGCCTCCCAAGTAGCCAGGATTACAGGTGTGCACCACCATACCTGGCAAAGTATTTTTAGAGAACCAGCCTTCTTAGGCCTCCATCAAATGACAAAAGGTGCTCAGCAGTTGAGGACGCATAATCCTCCTGCCAAGTGTGCCCTGGAATCCCGACCGACACCCCCCCCACAGTGTCCGCCTCTGCTGACTTCCCAGACAGCCAGGTCTTAGCCTGCCAGAGCCTCTGCCACTGCCTGGGCCCGAGGTGAGTGGCTCTCTGTGCTTCCTGTGGGTCCTCACCTCTGACATTCCCGTGACTCAAGAAGTAACACAGTCACTGCTCCTCCAGCTCCTCCCAGCCGTGCCAAACGTCATCCTGGGTGACTTTGACCTTACCATTGGCTTCATCCCCATGGAAAGCCAACAAGAAGAGATTCTTGTTCCTGTGTTATGGTTGAGGCTCTTGTTCAAAGTTGCACAGCTTCTCAAACTCCCGGTTTAACTCTTGTTCCTAAACTACACCCCTGCTTTTTTAAACTTGTTTTTTTTTGTTTGTTTGTTTTGGTTTTTTTTTTGTCTTTTTTGAGACAGGGTCTCGCTGTGCAGTTCAGGCTGGCCTTGAGCTCACTTTGTAGCCCAGGCTGGACTCGAACTGGCAACCATCCTCCTGCCTCAGCTTCCCGAGTGCTGGGATTACAGGCGTGAGCCACCATGCCCTTTTTTAAACTTCTTGCTCCTTGTACAGGTTTATTAAATATGAGAAGCATGCCGGGGACATAGCTCCAAGGCACAACACCTGCCTAGAAAGTGCAAGGTCCTGAGTTCCATTCCTGGTACCAAAAAAAGAAACAAAAAGAAAGAAAGAAAGAAAGAAAGAAAGAATAAACAAATAAATAAATATGAGAAATGCACATAAACACACAAAGAAAGAAAAAGATTGGGCAGGGCATGGTGGAGCACACCTGTAATCCCAGCTTGAGAAGCTGAGGCAGGAGGATCACCTTGAGTTCAAACCTAGCCTGAGTTAGAT